TGCAGCTCGTCTTGGACTTTGACGCTTCGAGCTTCATGAGCATGCTGAACGAGGCCTTTGAGGATAGCTTCTTGAATGGCGAGCAAGATGCACCAAACGGAGCCCAGCTCAACGGCACGCACAAAGGGTCTGCTCTCACTCCCACTCGCCAGTCCATCATAAACTACCTTTTCGGGATAATGAACACCGACAACTTTGACCCAGAAGATATCATCTACTTCTACATGTTCGTCGCGCGAAATTTGCCGAAATACCCGCAACATATCATGCTTCCAGGGACGTCGCTGCATCAAGTCCTCATCGGTCTCTGCGACTTCCCTACGGAAACGATCAAGGAAGATTGTCAGCTCTCAGTCGAGTATCTTCTCTCCATCTACCACCCACCCAGTCCACAGGGTCTCGTGCCGCTGTTCGAGAAGGCTGGCTTTCATCGCGTGCTCAAGTCCGTGTATCGGGGCGCACACCAATACGCTAAGCTGCTCGAAACGTACCTTGACGATGAAGAAGACGAAGAGGCAGTGTTTGGGTGTATTGCTGACATCTTTCGGCCAAGCAAAGGTGTTACCAAGAAGCAGCTGAACGAGGTCAAGACAGTCATCGTCAGTCGCGCTGTAGACTTGGCTGCGATCGACGCGTCGCAAACTGCGGTGACACTGAAGCAATATGCGGTCGATCTGCTGGAGCCAGTTCTCGGCGCTATCGAAGCCGGAAGCGATGCCCAATACCGCTATCTACAGGCTCTGATCGAACCAGAGCAAGCTGCGACAGGCAATGTCACGCCCATCGATGAGAACTTACCTTCTGGATTCATCGAGAACTATGTACAGCTCATGTGCACTTACAACAGCGCGCACGTCGCAGACTTCGTCGGCACGTTGAAGTCCAGCGACCTCCGATTGGATCCTGTCTTGCCTGCATTGGAGAAGAGCGGCGTCATCGACGGTGCTGTCATCTTGATGGCACGAGATGGCCTAGTCCAGGGAGCCATGGACCGACTAGTGAAGCATCTTGGTACGCTTCAGACTGCCTTGATCGGCCTCATCGGAGCCGCATCAGAGACGCCAGATGTGGCCAACACCGAGGAAGCAGTCCACGATCTTCTTGAAGATATTCAGAAGTACATCAAGGTTGGCATATGGCTATGTCAAGGACAGACACGATCGAAAGAGCCGAGACCAGAGTCAACTGTCGACAGACGGAAGTCGGCATACGGAGAAGTTCGTGAAGCAGATCTCGCGCCGGACGAACTGTTATGGCTTGAGCTTGTCGACACGTCCGTACGGCTCATCAGAGATACATCCAGCGCCGTTGCTGACCACGACGCTTCCATCACATCAACGGGCGTTGACCCAGCCGATACCGTCGACACAGCTCGCATCGTATCCACTCTCCGCTCCTCGATCCAACTCACCTTCTCCGCCCTCCTCACATCCACCACCATCCCACCCACACGAAAGACCCCCCAATCCCACTCCACTCCAGACACCACAACCCGCCCACCCCTCCGCCACACCCAATCCCGCGCCCAATCCAATCCCTCCTTCCTCCGCATCCTCCGCTGTTTCCTCACCCGCGCAACACACACCTACTCGCCCTCGCTCTCGGACCTCCGCTCCGTCCTCTCTGAAATCTTCGCAGCCTACACCTTCGAAGAAACCATCCTCAGCCTCGCAAACCGCTTCCTCGACAAAGAGTCCTTCGAGCACGTCCACGAGATCACCGAGCTGCGGAAGCGCGGGTGGAGACCCCGTGGTCAGGTCTGCGAGGGATGTAAGAAGAGGGCTTGGGGGCCCGGTGCGGGGCCTGGTGTGTGGGAGGCTTGGGAGAAGAGGGAGGAGGGGAGGAGGAAAGTCAGGGATGAGATGGTGGGGAAGGGGGAGGAGGGGGAGGGGAGTGGGAAGGCGAAGGGGAAGAGACCGAGTCAGGCGGATGTTTTGGATGATGGGGAGGAGGAGGGGGAGAGGGGGGAGAGTCTGGTGTTGTTTGCTTGTAGGCATTTGTGGCATAGGGGGTGTTTGGAGAAGGAGAGTGCGGGAGAGGAAGGTGGGGGCGAGGTGGGGAGGATGATGGGGAGAATGGGGTTGAAGTGTCCGCTTTGTTGAGTGAATGATGAGGTAGAAGTGTATGTATAGTAGTAATTTATGGTTCGTTTCATTGCGATTCTTACATACATCTCGCACTCAGGTCGCGCGATCATGTCTTCACTACGACACGAGTCCCGGATCTGAACCGATTCGATGTGGTATGACGCCTACAAAGCACGTTTTGGCCTGAGAGAGGCAAGGGAAGAGTACGTTAGCATCCGACATGTGTATTTCATTGTGTGTTCGACTGGACTAATGTACAATGTAGCCTTCCCGCTGTTGCCACTTGATCGTGATCTTGCTCTGGTAGAACAATTTAGTCTTTTCTCGTCGCCGTATCTCTTGAAAAGGGACACTTCCGAGTCAACGTGTACATTGGGAAGCGCGAAGACATTCGCCACCGTCGAGCGCACCTTGGCCTCAATGTCTTGGTCCTCGACTCGACGATACGGGGCATGGAACCCCTGAAACTCGCCGTATGTTACCTTGACAGTGAGGTGAAGATGCTTCAGGCCGGGTAGTCTCCAGTACACGTCACCCAAGGATGTGAGGACATTGTATTCCCAGGAAGAGGCGAGTGTGGGGGCTTGTCTTATTTGATGAGTGTCGAGGGGAGGGAATGACGTGCGGGGGTACAAGGCGTCAGACACGTCGAGATCCACGCTTGCATCATTAACCCGTCCATGAAAGTCGAGTTGACCTAAACTAACGGAGGCGACAGCAAGCCGCGCAACTTCAGGCAGTGATTCGATCCAGAAGAAGAACAATCTTGGGTTGCCGACTACGAAGGTGCTTGATGAATAGAAAAGTGGCCATGCCTCCAGGTGTATTTGGCGCGATACACCCAGCAAGGACGGACCGAAGGACGCCCTCGGCTTGTGGCGGCCCGGCTGGGTCTCTTCGTACAGTCGGAAGATTTCGTAGACGTTGCCTTCGGCATCTCGCTTCTCGTGAGAGTTACCGACATACCACACTGGGTGCCCAAGTACGTAGCCGTAGATGCGATTGCGGATCTCGCCGGGCAGCTTGAGCAGCGGGGACATGCGTTGGTTGCGTAGAGCACTATGCATCGTTAGGATTAATGCCAAATTGCATCTTAGCGGGTCGTCGCGCTTACATTGCCTGCTTCCAAGGCGATGCATCGGTAAGCACGACCATCTTGCAGTGTCGTAGGTTGTACGGGGTTAGAGAGTGAGAGTATAGCTAAAGAGACGACCACAAGGAGTTGTTGATAGCGTTGAGAGCTAAGCGAGACCACGACATGAGAGCGATTAGGCAACAAGGTGGCGTAGGTGCATTGGTATCTCCGCCTTCACTTCGGGATACCAGTCTAGTCGCAGTCTCCGCAGTGGCATGTCGTCACGAATGCAGCCGCTGCCCCATACTCGCATCACTCGATTTCATAATGTAGTCCATAGCCATGCCTGGAGGCCGGTAACATACCTATCATGATAGATCTAAAGAACCCTCAAAGATTGCTATCGCTTCGCGCGATGTCTGACAAGCGCCATATACCATCAACCACAGCCGTGTCCGACAAGTACATGCACATCCATACTCACACAAACCTTCGGCCGCCCAAAGATCCCCTCGACTTCGGGGCGTAGCTGCGCGGTAGCCATGGTTTTGGCGCGCTGGATAGCCGCGTTATCTGGCTTATTCCAACTGACCGCGAACTTGCTTACGTTGAGGACGAGATGTATGCGTTCAAGGCCCGGTAGGAGAGCATACAACTCATCCACGCCATCTACCATGCGCATGCCCTCTACAGGCCCGCGCATGCGCATAACGCGACGCTCTCTGTGCGGATGTCCTGCAGTCCACCATGTCGGAAATCTCGTCTCAAGGACATCGTTCGTGATCTCGGCGCAATGACCTTCATTCATCCGGAGAGAGCGTATCGCAGATCTTGCGGGTTCCGGCAGCTGTTGTAGCCACCATACCAAAGCATCGATCGACGTGCCTCCATAGTAGTCCGCCTCGAATGTATTGAGCGCGTAGGGGAGTAACCATGTTTCTGAGTGTATCTGACGACAGACCTGGGGTAGGGCAGACCCAAAAGCCCGAACTATCGGATCACCACACATGACACATTCGCAATTGTCGTGATACCGTCCGACTTTCCGCCAAGCATAGTCTTTGTGACATGTGATGTGCCATGTGACACCGCTTTCCAGGACATATCCGTAGATCCGGTTTCTAAGCTCTCCAGGAAGTCTAAGAAGAGGAGAATTGGATTGGTTCATTGCGCCGCTGACAGTTGTTAGTCGCTAAGATTTCGAACAAGTGCGCGTAAAGTGCGGGACTTACATCGCCATTTGCTCCGGTCGAGCCTCACGCAGTATCACCATGTTACCGGTGATAATATGTATGATGATTCTGGGGGGAAAGGAGTCCCCGTTGGGAATTGTCGCATAGGAACAAAATCACAAACTACAGGCAGTTCGCGAAGTTGACACATCGGACTATGAACCCAACAATGTCGTTTTGGAGTGCGCACCACGCAACTTGCAAGTCGTTTTGGCCTTCGCGGGCCACGGTGCTTTGTTCTGGCATGTGAACATGGTTGCGCGTATGTGACATTGCCTTGTAGCGCGAGCGTTGTGAGCCCACAGCCTGGTTGTCGGATTATAGCGCTTATTTGTCCTCATGTCGGTGCTCCGCGCCCGTAGATATCGTCTCCAGTTACCCAGATAGATGCGATAGTCCACAGGAGATGCATTGGTGTCTTCGTCGTTCAGGTGTGAAGGTTCGTCAGATATCAGCCGGTCTGACAAGGCCAGGGGCTGGCGAGCCTCGGTGCTAAGCCCGATTGGGTGCAAGGGTCCAGAGTGGGTCATCGACAAAGCACCCGTATCGCCGAGGTATGCTCGCAAAATCTACTTCAGATTGTATACAACAGCTTTCGGCCTCAACATGACTACCACGCCTCTGCCCGGTCATCCCAATGGAAGCTTGGCCAACACCCGAGGAGCCATCCCTCTCAATGAAGCGTTTGAGCGTCTCCGCTGGTCGGTCTTCGAGGACATCTCCAACATCCTCGTTCTCGATGAACCAAGAACCCAAAAGCCCGACCTACTGCCCTTCGAAGGCCACCCGATTGCGTCAGAACCAGCTTCCGAAATCCCTCTCACCAAGATAGCCTTCAGCATCTACGAGCTCAATGAGTTCGCAGCTCTTGAAACAGGCTTCAACGATGACGAGTTCGACGAGCCTGGGTTTGAGGAAAACCGTCGCTATCAGCGACCAGAACCCTTAGTTGTTACCAGAGGAGATGGCGGTACTGTCACAGTTGCAGACGTCGTCCAGCAACTATCAGGGTACTTTGCAACTCACAAGGAAGACATCCTAATGGCAAAAGCCTATACGAATGGAAGCACGAGCGACCACGGAGCGGGCGACGAGAAAGCTGTCACTACTACCCTGGGCGAAGACCGGGGTACATCTCCCGTCACCAAAGTTTTCTTCGAAGGATTCTTTGGTATCATAGAGCCCACCATGGAGTCGCTTCCCGTCATACTGTGGACCGAAGGGGATGGCTCGTTTCCATTAGATTACAGACTGTGACAGTAGATACAGCATCGTTCTCGGGCGTGGTGGTGGCTCGGAGGCAATCTCTGCTGAAGGGCCAATTAGTGGTGTACTTGCCAAGTGTCGCATGCGGTGGGAATGGATCCAGGGAGAGTTCTTACTGTCGTCATCCGCAGCATGTAGCTTTTTGAACGAAGCGTCGCTAATAGGAGCGAAAAGGCAAAGATCGAAAGACGGGGTAGGCCTGACGCAGTGGTATCTCATGGGCGCGAGATTCCACGCCGTATACTGTTCATGCATTCGCTATCTCATGAAGTTTGTGTCGCTTTACCTACGATTCGTTCCAGATAAGAGTATCGGTACCGACGCGTTCGCGCCAGCCTTCCGAGGTCTCTTTCGAACGCGGCATGGGCCTCTGTCCCACGAGGATTGTCGCTGCTTATAGGCAATCTCCCCGCGCATTGGACATGCAAGGCTGACTGGAAGCGCGGCAGGCGCATGTGAGAAACGGAGCTTGGAGTGGCGTTCGCATCTTGTAGTAGCTTCGTGAGGGTGCAGCGTGCGATATTGTCCGTAACAAACCTGCGGCGGTTGCCAGATGCAGGGTGGCAGGAACGGCCCGGCTTTTGGCATCTTTCAGGTGGTCCGAGCACCGAGCCGGTGGCGACAACGTCCGGCCTTCACAACAACTTTTGCGATCGTGGCGACCACGCGGCAACCGATCAGACGAAGCTGCGCGCGTCGCTGCGAAGATAACACGGCTTACATATCTAGGTACTCTTGGAGCACAACGAGTAGAGCGCCCCTACCTAGGTACACAACGGACTTCAGTTATATCCGCGCTTGCCGATCTTCGCCCCCATATTGAGGCCAGCAAGGCGTAGTCTGACACTACTCCTATACTGTAGGTCAGATAATATATAACTAGTCTAGTGGAGTGTTGAGGCGTGACCGGTCTCCGCGCCTCAAGTACGCGTCATTCTGACCCGTCGCTGCCCACTCAGCCTTGCGGCTTCTTGCAGCACCTGAAGGTGATGTATTGCTTGGGATAAAGACACAGCTTTTGGGCTCTACGTGTCTCTCTTTCTATGATCTCTGATGTGACTCTGCGTCTAAATCCCCACCATGGCATCTATTTCTGACGAGATCAGTCTGCGAACAAGGTTGAGAGCCAACTCGAACTCTGTACACGACAACAACAGCCCCTTAAATCAGGCACCGACGCCGGTCTCTTCAGTTCAACTGTATTCCGATGTACAGGAGCAAGAATCACCTGACAATATGGGAAAGCCCGAAGACGAGAGCGAAACGCAACCTTCTCTCTCTTCAGTATCAACGTCATTAAACCCGGCCAGCTTAGGACAGAAGAGGAATTTGCACTCTGAGTTCATTCGACGCACAACGCACTGGAGAACAATAGGAACAATCATGGGCTTCAACGTCGCGGGTACGCGCTTACATGCACACGGACGAATGCAACTAAACTCGTGTAGCGTTTCTGTCCGCCTTGGGGCATTACTTCCTGTTCCGTAATTTAGATCACTAGCTCACCGAGACGAGCTATCTCACACAGCCGCAGGTCTCCGCGGTCTCAATTCTCTTAACGACCATCTTCAAGGCCGCCTTGACGGCAACTATTGGAACCTCCTTTGCGCAGCATTTATGGCTCGTTCTTCGCGGGAACCCGTTGCCAATTGACACGATTGAGAAACTGTTCATGCTTTGTACCAACATATTCGCACTTTTCGACTTGCGAAGCACCTGGAGATCACCCACGCTGATCGTGATGGCGCTTTCCGTATGGTGTCTGGGACTGGCGACAGTTTATCCTCCAGGAGCGCTGATTGTTGCAATTGACCCCTACACGTTTACTGAAGAGCTAGACATAGCTGTGATGAATCCGCCAATTCCTCGCGACCTAGACTTTGCTGGAAATGAGAGCTTCCGCTCATTGACTTCCCACGGATTTGACGATTTCTATAATTCTTACGGGAACCCCGAATTCCCCTTGAATTATACAAGGATACTCGAATACCAGTAAGTAGCTTAGCGATAGGTCTATGCATGCCATGGTAATAACCGGTATAGCGAGCCAAATTTGGCCCTGTGTACCATCGCGCAATCTATCATCATGGACAACCGTGTGTTCAGCCTTCCCGGACATCTAGGCGAAAACTCATCGTATAAACTTCAATTCCGAGGACCGCAGCTGCGATGCAATACGTCGCGGTACGGCAATTCCATCCCACTAAATTTGGAGCAAGGGTGGCTTTCCGGCGCTGTTTTTGTTTCGAAGTGGCTAACAGATCTGCTATCCCTCGTTGTCCTGCAGCACAATATCAGCAGTGCTTCGATGTCGAATAGTTATCAAAACACCACATTTTATACAGCTCACGTCGAGACAACCGAGCAGACTTGCAATGCAAAGTCTGTACTGTACGATGTTAGCGTAACTTTTCCGCGCGGAGTTCAAAAGCTGGAGGACCACTTAAGCGACGAGGAAGACATGCGGAAGAAATGGAATGATGCTAGTGAACATATTGAAGGACGGCTGGGATCCTCAAGATTAAGTCTCGCGATTCCCGCCGACCCCCAGGTAGCTCGGGATTGGAACACCAAGGTGCTTGATACGCTTCCAGCGTTTAATGAATGGGCAATATTGGATGCGCTAGGCATCTTGCTCGACGATGTAGGGTATGAGAGATCGACTTATTCTTATTGTAGTCCAATTGCCGTTCGAGACAACAAGACGACGACAAAAGAATGTGGAGCTTGGGAGAGTGATATGTATGGTACTACAGACTCCCCCTCTTCCGAGGCTCCGCTGCGGGGAACCGTCTTCCAAACCGCTCGCTTCAACCCAGCGTCGCCAAAAACCCATTACGACGCTAGAAAGGAGCTGAACATCACAGAGACGCTTCTAAACGATGTGCTCACGAAAATCACTCTTTCCGCTATATCCCTAGGACTATGGCAGGAAACAATTCCCGTAAACATCACCCGGTATCAGAGCACGTACTCTTTCGCCAACCCGCTCAACCTCATTCTTCCGTACAGCATATGCTTCCTTGCGGCCAGTATCTTCGCTGGTATAGCAATATACTCACTATCGCGGAACGGTACGCCTGCGGCAGATGGCGGCTTCTTGCAGATCATGACGTCCACGAGGGGTAACACGGAGATGGAACGGCTTGTGTTGCGACACGATTTAACGAAAATGGACAAGCTGCCGGTAGAGCTAAGAAGTCTCAAGGTACGGTATGGGGAACTGATTGGCGCAGATGTACCGGGAATTGAGGGGAGATTTGGGTTCGGAACGGCTGAGGAAACAATCAGTCTGAGGAAGCGGAAGTGAGGCTTGATATGGCGAACGCGCGACGAAGAACAAGGGTCAAGGAGACGGAGCACTATCGTAGCACACTACCTCACGCCGGCCGCAATTATTTCTGAGCCTACCATAGAGACGCTTCCGCACTATTGTAGACCGAAAAGGATTATTCGCCTCTACTAGATGACAGAGTCCGACAATAGACCCTTGGGAACTCAAACTCGGAAATTTGCCTGGAATTACAACCAACATGGTTCTCACGTCTGCTGCATCGTGTTGCGATGTCACCTGTAGCCGCCGACATCGTACACGGAGACCCTTGCGCGTAGTCTTCGCGTGAGGCTTAGAAGCATACGCGTAGTGTCAATGCGGCAGAAGTCGACTTAGGTTACACCCCGAACGCCACAGATAGAAAAATTAGGTCGGATGAGGTTGTAGACGCGTATAGTTGCGTCGGCACTAGAGCGTAAAGACAACTCACTACCTGGTCTGGAAAGATGCTTTTCTCTCGACCCCGCTATGATCTTCGGAGGTCACGCTGACCTCACTGCACACGACGATCGTATTCTTTCGATCTGCTTCAAGATCGTTGCGCTGCATGCGATGCATGGCCACATCATGTCCTTTGATCATGTCTTCTTCGCTTTCATTGTCAAGCGTAAGGCCCCCGAAAGTGTAGCGCGCCCGGTGCGGCGCCTTTCGGCTAGCCCGTTTTCCACCGGGCCCAGATCCGCCTCCGATTGTTTCGAAGTCACTGCCTGGAGGCTCTTGCCCTTTTGCGTTGCTGGATCCGATCGTACTGGGTAGGAAAGGCGTGAGCCAGTTCTTGAGCAGGGGGAAAATCATGGGGAGGTTGGTCGTAAATATGGCGATGAAGGTCTCGCGAGTACCCCAAGAGGCGGTGAGCTCAGCACTGTTCAAAGGGTCCTGAAGATTGGTCAGTCTTGAAGCCCACTTCATGGCGATTGTGCGATCGTATCTTACCGTGATAAGATAAATGCTCTTTAGTATCGCACACACAATAACGAGCATGCCAGCACCAAGTACGAGCATGGCGGCAATCTTCTTGTATATCCTCAATCTCGACTTCCATAACATGGGGATTGGTATCAGCAGCAGATACACGTCGGTGGATACGTTGAAGACGAATGTGAACCAGATGAGACGCTTCGATATCGCTGCTTGACACGCATTTCCGGGATCGGGATTGATCTGCCAGTAGCGCCAGAATGGTCGACATGAGAGGTATATGGTGAATATGATGATCACAAAACTGGTGATGATGGACACGAAAGCGATGTAAATGCGGGTCGTGTACATCCCAAGACCAGCCTGGGATTCATGTCAGTCAAAGCTTCCCGGCCTACTGCGATGAATATACACACCGTGAGACGAAGATAGAAGGCTGCTACGCATAGCTTAAGAGACCAAAGCAGGCATGCAGCGGTGGTCCAGCCAGCTACTTGAATCTTCGATCCGATGACTCTAAAGCCCCGTTAGCTAAGTGTGCGCCGGGGCTCACTATGTTGTATCTTGCGCCAGGTACTGGCTCTGTGTATACCTCAATCTAAACTCGGGGTCGTCTCGCGACAGCGCAGCACGCTCATTCGGCGTCATGCCGTCATTTGCGAGGCCATGTACGTGCACTCCCAGACTGTACCCGAGGCTGCATTGGGCGGTGTAGATGAGCTGGTAAACGGATTATTAGCAGTATGGAATCTATGAAGCATTCTTTGCTACTCACGATAGCAATCCATACTAGGTAGTCATCTACTTGTAGCTCGCGGAGGCCCACGGCGGTGATCCTTGCATATGTTCGCAGACACGTGAAGGAGACAGCGAGTGCATAGAGAGTCCACAGCTCCACGATGCCCATAGCGTCTTCTGCAACAATGGTGTTGGATGATCGATTCCAGTCTGATCCATCACTCTTGAACTCTGGGTCGGTCGGTATAATCACAAATCCAGAACAAAACAGATGGAGCTGAATCTGTATCCGAGACGTTCATGGCGTAGCCTAACTCGATAGAATGTCAGCGAAAAGATACCCCGTGTAATCACATCACATCGGCCCGAAGTCACATTGGCACCCAATCTGAGTGCGCCATCCGATACTTTGCACAGAGAGGAAGGCACAAAGCGGCGCAGTTCTTGGCTCGCCGGCTACAGCTCAGGATCACGCCCAATACGAGCAATCTTTTCGTTGCCGTCTTTTATGGCTTGCTATATCACACTTGGATGTTCGCATGGCTGAAGAGATCAGTGTGTTCGATGGTCACGTGCGTGGTGCAGCCGCAGGCAAAATGCGCGCAACGATAGCAGCATTGCGCATTCGGCATTCGACAGTGGCGGTTGCAGGATGGAGGCTGACATCCAGGTCCCTTGATGAGTCTGTGAAGTACGAGGGTGCAAGCCTTCCAGCAAGGAAGAAGCGACGAAGTAACAGCCCTGGCAAACCACAGTCATCGACTTACCAACCCACCAACGTACACACCCAAAGTTCCTCGCGAAAAGACTTCAAATTCGAGCGCGAGCCCACAAGCAAGGAAGAAGTGGGTGAAGACTTATCTCCACTAGCGTATAGGAAGCCTGGGCGGGCCAGGGCAACGGTGCGGCTCGCGGCATCTCGTCCGATCCCCGAGCCAATCGCGGTGATGCCTACGACCCACAAACCTCGAGAATGTGCAAGCGCGCAAATCGCGGCGAAGATAAGATCATCGTAGGATCAGATTCGCGCCGATTGTGTGACCGAGCTGAATCCTGCGATGCAGCCTATCCCGCCTTTGCGCCATCTAGACCCTGACGACAAGCACGCTGCAGGGCGGCCCGGAGGTCTTCCTCATGGAGCATGATGCTTTTAGCCGACAGCTCAGATGCCTTCTCGTATTTGAGATGCTTTGAAGCCACATGCCAGGATGTTGGTAACTCACGGCCGGGTCTCGCATCCTGCTTGACATCTCCCCACCGGCATCATGTTTGCAAGAGTTCTGGCACCGTTGGCTGTCGCAAGCTCTTTCTTTACCTGTGTCGTTCCGACTGTCTCGGCAACCCCTACTTCGCCATTTGACCTCTTCTCTAGGACCCCCGCAGCAGGTATCGACGTGAAGTCATTAGCACCGTATCTCTCTGCCACCGCGAAGATTTACCTCCCCGATACGAAGGAGTTTGCTACTTACACCACCCGATGGTCCAATCTACAGGCTCCTACGCCGAGCATTGTGATCGCACCGGGTACGGAGAAGGACGTCCAGAAGATTGTGAGTTCATATGAGGGCGGTAGGGCGTTCTGGGTCTTAGCATGAGAGATAAGCAACAGCAGCTGATACTTTCACGGCAGGTCAAGTTTGCGAATGATCGCAACATTCCGTTCCTCACCTACAATGGCCATCATGGGACGCTTACGACCTTGGGCAAGATGGACTATGGTATCGAGATCTATCTGCCGCAGTTGAACTCAATTTCGATCGCCAAAGACGGAAAGTCAGCGACTATCGGTGGTGGAGCCAACGTGAAGAACCTGACAGACACTCCGTGGGACGCTGGAAAGCAGACTGGTAAGCTTTCCAATTTCACGATAGACTTGGCCTGCTTTAACACCACTTAGTCACTGGCTGCTGCGAATGCGTCAGCTACTTGGGACCGGCCCTCGGTGGCGGTCATGGATGGTTCCAGGGCCATTATGGTCTGATCACCGATCAGTTCCTTTCCATGAATATCGTGCTCGCAAACGGAGACTTTAGGACGATCGACAGCAAGTCAGACCTATGGTGGGGTATGCAAGGGGCTGGCCACAACTTCGGCGTCGTCACATCCGTTACCACAAAGGTCTACGACATCGAGCACTACGACTGGGCGATTGAGACGATTGTCTTCAGTGGTGACAAGATCGAGCAGGTCTATGAAGCGGCCAACAAGTATATTCTTCAAGGCGGGAAGCAGTCCGCGGATATTCATGACTGGACGTACTGGCAAAACGATGCAAGATACGATACCGAGGGGGTAAGATATGCGACGGTTCTCAAATGAACTACATTCGCTAACATATATTCAGCCGGTCATCATCATTTACATCGTGCAAGAGGGGGTAACTACTGTCGATGCCAAGTACACCGCGCCCTTCCACGACATCGGCCCTCTCGCCGCCACACCCCAGTCCGGCACCTACAAAGATCTCGCAAAATGGACGGGTATCGCGCTCGAATCGCCTCCATGCCAGGACTTCGGCTTCAACAACCCTCGCTTCCCGATCTACATCAAGTCCTACAATGTCACCGCGCAGCGCAAAGCCTGGGACCTCTACTCCTCCGCCGTCGCCGAGGCGGACAACCCATACTACAACTCCATCTTCATGTTCGAAGACTACGCCAGTGGCGCTGTACGCGACCGTAGCAGCGATGCTAGCGCATTCGGTTTCCGTGACGCCCATACCCTAGCTGCACCTCTGATTATATACAATTCGACTGGACAGGCGCAAGACGAAGCCGTCAAGGAGCTCGGCACACAGCTTCGTGAGATCATTCGCGAGGGCACAGGGTCTAGTGAGCTACACACCTATGTAAACTATGCGTATGGTGATGAGGGGCCGGGGGCGTGGTATGGGCATGAGGACTGGAGGCAGAAGAAGCTGAAAGCGCTCAAGAGGAAGTATGATCCCAAGGGGAAGTTTAGTTTCTATGCCCCTATTGCGTAGGCGTTCAAAGCCTGGACGTTGAGATTACAAACAGGATATATCACGGACCATATGCATGTCTTGATTTCGACGTGATTCTGAGGTGTGCCTGGGGTGTACATGAACTTGTGGGTTTGGGGAAAAGGGTATGATACAATACCCTGGATACCAGAAGCTATTCTACAGCTATGTAAAGGCCGTGAACGAAAAAGCTTGCCGCTGACGTTCTTCTTCTGGTGTATACGGCTGAGCGATTACCACTCGCACCTTCTCCTCGGTAGATTGGGTTTGGATCCCATCGCCTAGCTGCGTATAACAACGGTAGTCTCTTTCTGGACAGATTCCGAAATGTCTATCGAGTTTCCTAAGACCAGGAAAGTCTTGGAAGCCGATCATCCCTCTTGGTAAAAGCAGTGACATCGTTGGGCGTGGGTGCGAAGGATTTGGACGATCGGCACAAGAGGCAAACAGGGTGATAGTCGTGATGGCCCAGCGACATTCCCTCGGGAAGTTGGTGAGCCAATTGCGAAGATCATCTTTTGTCTCACATCGGAAGTCACTGAGTGACCATGGTAAGAGACGGGCTTCGTTGTATATTTTTCGACAGACACGAAGCAGAGCTCGGTGATCGTTGCGCTCAGCTTTCGGAGTTTTGCAGGTCAATCTACGACGCGTATCGACATGCCATGTATTGCCACCCAGAGTGAAGTCGTAGATCCTGTTACGAATCTCTCCAGGGAGCCTAAGCAAGGGTGACATGGTGCGGTTGCGTTCGGTACTGCATACTCGTTAGCTAATTAGAATCGTTTGTGAGGGTGGGAAAACGCACATTGCTTGTAGTTGTGCCATGCCGCAGTGATGGGATCTTAGTTGAAGTTGTTGTCTGTGGTGTGTAAAGAAGGGGTTGCGTTCTCTCAGGTCCAAATCGGAATATTGATATACTGCTGTAGCAGTAGGACCGACCTCTATCCATCGCTGGTGAAAAGCCTCGGTGATCCCGCATTGTGTGCTATATTCTTTCGTTCACTTTGCATAGTCAGGCTTTCACCACCGGACTCCCTTGTCGGAAGCAATCGAATACATAAAGGTCAGTCGCCTTCATCCTGTTTCTACAGAAAAGGTATCGGGCGCGTCTTAAATCAAGGCTACACCGATGTATGCAGGTATTCGTATCGTTGTGACGAGCGTGGGTTTCATGGGGCGTATATACTGTCTACATGAGTATAGGAACAATGTATGGTAAAGAAAGTACCCTCAAATTCTATACTCCCGGGAGTTTAAACACGGTAGCAGATTCGCGGAGTTCCAGGGCCTCTTGTGTCGGCTCTTGATATCGCAATCATGCGACAAACCCTGGAACCTACCAGCACGTCAAACCATCGACGTACGTGAGTGTGATGCGAAATGAGTACTGCAGGTTACTGCTGCTACAATCGTTTGCGCAAGCAAGCGAGCTTAGCAGACTGCATCAATCGTTGGGAATGCTGATGGCGAGCAAAATGCGCTGATGAGAGCATACAATGATGGTGCAGTACGGTGCGACGTTGTTGCAGTTGCGGAGAAGTGCGGCGATCGGCCGGATTTCGGGCCGGGCAACAAGTGGCGCCAATGCCGCGCGCCAGTCACTGGTTCTCCCTACACGCGCATCACGACTGTCCATCCCTCAACACGATGATCTCCCGTCGCGACACTTCATGTGCACTCGCAAGCTGACAGTGAATGACTTACGTGCTTTCACTGCTGCAACAACAAGACGCCAATGAATGCGATTGCCTCGTGGACCTCGCGAGCGCCAAAGCCTAAGCTCGAGCTAACAGTCGGGATCGCTGGCCATGGCCATCGCACTCTTGTTGGCTGATGGCATGCGAAGGTGATAAGGTAAAGGCCTGCGGTATTTGGACAGGATGACAGCATTCAGCCTTAGGAGAATACATCCGCCTCTACAGCACCGGAATGTCAGGTCTTGAGTCACATTACTTCACACCCATGAGCACATCCAGTAACATATGGATAAGGTCATGTATATTGCTACCCACATTGCGCAACTTGGCTCTACGACGCAGCTTCGTTGTGAGCGTCTTACGACCCCGTATCTCAATCTCTGGTCGCAGCGCACAGCGTCATGACGACATCATAAACATCCCAACTTACCACACGCACGTCACCTCTAGATGACATCCTTGAATACCTAATCTACAACCCTTGATATCGCCGACATCTCATCGATACAAGGCTCAGATAGCTTCAAACCGAACCCACCTCGACGCGGGTATGCCTACCGCCGGGCTCACCATTCGCGACGTCACGCCCACCATCACCACCTTCTCCGCGCCGTTCAACCGCTTCGCGCCATTCGGCTGTCGCAAGTTTGTCGCAGTGGGCAATCGAGCCACGGCCATCCGATTACACGACAAACGAATCCTTCTCCTCAACCCGATCCAGCTCGAACAAGCGGTGCGCGACAAGCTGAATGAACTTGGGGGCGTTGATCTTGTGGCGTGTGATCTTGGGCATCACATGTATGTGAAGGAATACATCGATGCGTGGCCAGAAGCAAAGACAATCGGCGTTCCAGGTCTGGACGGCAAGAGGAAAGACGTGGAGTGGGACTACATATACGAAGACTGGCGGACAAGTCCGGAAGACCAGTTCGACTTTGCGCAAGACTTCGAGACTGTGCTATTCGAGGGGTTCATCACCTACTGTGTCGCTTGGTATCACAAGCCCACGAAGACGCTGATACAGTCGGACCTGATGATGAACTTGCCATGCACCGAGGTATGTTTCACGATTACTCTGCGCATACGCAACATCAGACGCTAATCTTCTGTCAGCAATACTATCCTAGCTCGTCGGACCAAGGCCCTTTGTCGCGCGAATTTGCAAAGCGTGCACATCCTCGATCGATATGGGCGAAGCGCCTCGTCTACCACATTGCGACCGTTGACTACACCTTGATGCGACGCGACGCGAAGAAGGTAGCGGAATGGCAGATCGAGCGGATCATACCCTGTCATGGAGACGTCCTCGATACTGGCGGAAATGAAGCCTGGGCAACGGTGTATGACTGGTTCTTGACCGGTAAGGCCACGCCAAGCCTGTTGAAAAGACTGATGAGCCCCATTATGAAGGTCGCCAGGAGAGTCTTCTTGATGTAGATTCCAGACGTGTGCACTTAGTTTTTTTTCTTGGTCTGTGACACGGGTTTCACAAATGTCCAAGCCGTGGCAATGAAGTGGTCATCATCTGCGGCCTACATTTGTGCCGACCCAACGTCACCCTCCAACGACTACACATCGTCGATTGCGACGTTCCCATACGGCTGTGACGCCTCGAATACGGCAAATCCATGTACTGGAAGTCATCCTCTCCATAGCAAAGCACATGTCGCGACCTAGAGCCGTTAACTCAACTTCGTTCATCGACTCATGGTGCGATTCCATGGTCTTGTGCTGCCTTTCCAACGGATTGACCGCTGTCTTCTGCTGGTGCCCCAAGCCTCAACATGGCTCCTTGAGCACCAGCCTAAACAGCGATAACGAGACGAATCTGTCCGGATGGAATACTCTCACCAGGATTTCGAGTGACATGACAACCACTCGGCTACGCCATAGGGCCCACGGCGGGATGGCATGCCTCGATGGTTCGGAGTTGGTTTTACATGGGGAAATCTCAGCACGCATCGAAATGAAATCACTATCATGCAAATAGCATGCATGCTCTGTAGTAATGGCACGGCCTAGCATACGGCTGTTGATGGTCGATATTCATCAACGAGATAATTGCATATTGACATACAGGGCGTACGTGCAGCCATTCAACATATACAGAATCACGACCACTGCGTAGAAAATCGACATGCGCATTGTCACGTACGACCTCCTGATGTCAATTGGCCTCTGGTGCTTTGACTCCCACCTTGCAACCGCCGCCTCGAAGTCTAGTGGACCGAAACTTGTATCGTCATCATACACCTGTTCTCCACGAGCTTTGTCGAGGAAGCACTTCCTGCAACGTCGGTCACATGGTTCAGACTGCCACCAAATGGCTTCAGGACAGGGTGGTTGGATTTCGTTCGCGTTCCATCGCCTTTTTAGCGTGTCGTAAGCCTCCTCAACTCTTGCCTCCCGGTTTCTGTCCCGCATACTGGTAATCGCATTTGAGCACTTTATCTGATCCAGCAGGATTCTCGCCGCTACGAAGACGTAAGCATAATAGCAAGGTACCATGATGAGTACGATCCCAACTGTCCAAACACCATATGATGAGAACAGGCGTGGTGCTCCGTATGATAGTGGTGAAGCCATGCATAACGACAGCATGGCCAGGACTTTGTCGTTAGACATGGCAGTCATCTTACCAACCTATTTTTGCCGATGCGTATGAGTTCGATGAAGGAATCGCCTTTCGTTGTACTCCAGTTCGACCCGTAGCTTGCGCATGGTGTAATCCTGGGTCATGACCAAAGAGAAACAGAGATGATGCATGTATACAACAGTACATGTCATCGGCTCTAGTGGCCAGTAAACAAATACGCTGTTAACAAGGACGCCTAACACCGAAAGTAAAATGCGACACCAGGTTCGAGGAAATCGAGAGGCCTTTTCCAATTTCTCGTGAACATCGCCTTCATCAAAAACGCCGATGCGACGGATCAACTCTAGGATGAAGTGTTGGCAGTTCGCCTGCAATAGAGAGTATTCCCGTGGTACGTCGAGAAGAGAGTTCGATGCATTGACGCGCTCATGATGCATCGCAGTCATGTTTAATTATGCTACGGTCTTCTTACATTGATCTCCGAGCATACCCTGGCGCTACACGCTGCGCTCAGATTCCGTTCCTGTGGTAGTCCTTAACGTCGGCAACTAACTTGTCTAGAGCATCGCTCTTTGAGAAGCGATCATAGCCCCGGAGGTAGTCCTTGAACGCCTTCACACTGCAAGCATTCTTGACTTTATTCCACTCCCCTTCACTCCATACCTCCCTTTCATTGCCCTTGACGTCCATCAATGGAAAAAACCGAACATTGGATACATCGATATCCGCCAACTCTCTACTGCCCCTCCACATCTTCGCTACCGAAGAAAACCTTGCCTTATCGCCGCCGTTTCCTCTGATCGCATGGCGAAGATCGCAACCAAACTGGATGAAGTCGCGAATATCGTTTGGCTGCATGCTTCTGAGCCTCCAACCCCACACCGGAAGATTGATCGTGATGTTGGGATTCTCTTTCCCGTACACAAGAAGGTCATCCAGGAGATTTGGCGGTGCCACGTACATGCGCCAGTTTGTCATGTACGTAACTTGGCGCTTGGTTTCCTTGAGTACCGATTTGCTGGCGCGTAGTACGTTCATCAGGACCTTGCTTCCGGTGTAATCGACGTACAGATGGTTGTAGAACAGCTCCATATACAGATGTTCGATCTTGAAAGCTTTGCATACCTCGAAGATGCGATTGACGGGTGTCTCCATGTCATAACTGCGTCCTCCGCAAATGACTACATTCCCATTCTCTTGCTTGAACGTGCCAATGGTGCCGTGGTCTGTAGTCAAGGCGTACTTCCAGATCATCTGGCGAATCTCCACCGGCAGTTCTGAAAACCGGTTTTCACCAGCTTCGATGCGCTTGTACTTGAGATCACTTGTATCGAAGCCGTGAACTTGGCCTTCACCGATGTCGAAAGACACCTTCTGGTGTGGCTTCATACGCCATGTAGCATGGAGGGTCGCACCGCCGGTCGCGTTCTTCGTAGCCCGGAGTGTGGCAGCATCCGGTGAGAGAGTCGAGGTGCTCGCTATAGCGCCGGTGAGAGCATCGAGGTAGCAGAGTTTGAGACTGCTCTTATCCAGAACGATGACAACGCGTTCCGAACGGTCCTCGCGAATGTACCACCCGGTGTATTGACGAAGTGTTATAGTAGTATGCGACATGGCGAAGGGGGTGAGGATAGCGAGCGTGGTGAAGGTCAATTAATGAGAGTGTAGTAAAGTTCGGTAGTACCAACAGAGATCCAAGAAAGGTTGTCGGTCGATGTTATAGTAAAGTCGCAAGGCGGGGTAATGATCTGATACAAACGGTCGTCTGCTTTCTCTCACTGCGAAGCGCGACCAAGTCTGGATCAACCCTACCAGCTGACTGAAATAATGTCATAGCGCACGTCTTATAGCTCCTCATTGGCCTGTTGCTTTGTTTGTTTGATGTTTTAGGATTCTCTGAGCTTCTTCCGCACCTGCACCGCAACGAATATTGGGTGTTGTGACTTGTTAACCTGTAGACTCGCCTAGATAGAGAAGTACCGAGCAACACTTGATCTCAGCCAGCACGTTGCAAGATACGAGATCTCCCGTGACTATAACAACCTGGGTGTTGATCGGTTCAACCTTTGGATTACACGAGTGTCTACACATGTTCTAGTCTGTTCCCACAACGTAGACAATCGCTATCACGTACCTAGGTTACTCCTGTTCCATGGATCCTGATACTCGTCGAGACCTCGAAAGTGCTCATTGGCCGTTAGCGAAATCCTAACGCGTTGACGGCTCATGACATCATTATCACGCTCACCGTCACCTTCACTTCTGGGAGCTACTGCTGGAGCCTGGGGCGCCGCTAGCGGCTGGCCCGTGCTCCCTCAGCCCGTTTACTAGGTCTTCTTGCTTCCTTCGACTCCTCACCTTTTCCTAACACCCACTCCGACGCTGGAACAACACGACTACGCTTTGGAAATGTATCTACGCATGGAGCCTCACACTTCTCGCTATCACAGTACGTCATACCCCTCCTTATTGTAATGTTAACACATCAAGCACTGTTGCGACACTCCCGATCGCTGCTCCGTCTTTTCAGACAACATCCACATCAAGGGCTGAGTTCACTCGGCTGATCCCCAGCTTCACGGCTCGCCCTTGGTGGCAACTCGTCGCGTCCAACGTGCGAGGTTGCAGTGTGCGGGAAAGGCAAGGCGGCCCGGGTCCACCTTGCTTACACTTGTGATGAGCGGGGACTGCACGAGTATTCTGCAGACCCTGTCGGCGACATTACCAGGGCGATCAGCCCGACGACAATGCACCGCCGGTGAGACTGGGCACCTTGATTCGGTGTAGACTGCGGATTGCCTTCACGGGTTCATTCGGGATGCATGGAAAACTCGACAAGTTGGACTTGTCTTGTGGATGGCAGTTTGACAACATGCGCCGGCGCATCACGTCTTACCCGTCGGTCAGGAAGGCAGGTTAGCCACCGTTGTGCTCTGTCCTGCTGGGTGTCATACCTTGAGGGTACGCGTTCGCCCAAGGTCACTCCCCCGCCCAGACACTCAGTAATGTGTCAATCGAAAAGAAACTTTTTTCATTGAGTCTTCACCAGGTCCTGGTGTTGCTTGAGGAAGAAAGCGACAACTTTGCCCATCTGATTACTCCGTCGTTATGGTGATCTAGTGCAGTCCTGGTGTAGCGTAATATTGCAGGTCATTGCTGTGTGGAACTGAGCTACGCTTGCATGTATTCGCATGTATTGTCGACGCGCACGCAATGAGAGGATGGCTTACGCGATGTCTGCGCTCACCTCATTACTTCTACCTAAGCCGTCAGTGTCAGTATATCTAGCTGGGGTTTGGGGGGGTCCAGCGCATGGCCCAAGCTTCCCCAACTTATCCACTTGGCCGCCCTTCTCTCTCTTTCTTCCTCCGACACCCAACCGCGACACTCGACGCCAGCTCAACTTTAGAGCGCGTGCCTGCCCATTGAGCCTCCCATCTTCTTTAGGTGGGATGGCGCGAGATCACTGTCAGTCACTCTCCCGCCCTCCTGTCAATTTAACACATCAAGCACCGACGCTGCGACGTTTCCATCGCCCTTCCGTCGTCCCAGACAACGTTCACATTAGGAATGAGTCCGGTTGCCCGAACCCCAGCCTCCGGCTCGCCGAAGTGGCATCCAGTCACATCCAGCGTGCGAGCGATGCAGTGTGCGGGAAAGGCAAGTGGCTGGTCCACTTTGCCCACACTTGGACGACCAGGACGCGTACGCATATCGAGTGTACGCTTACTGGCGACGACATTGTCGGTACGGCTGGCCCGTCTTCGATGCACCGTCGGTGAGACTACGGCAACTCTTCGCGGGGCAGAAATCCCGGTAAATCAGATGAGCTGGATCTCATTTGTGGTCTGCAAGATGGTGAAGCGCCCCGGAGCGTGGACCCTGATTAGCACTTAGAGAAGGTGGAATCACAGGGGGGGTCTCTCTGTCCACTGGGTGTCATACTGCGAATGAGGCTGGTTCCTCTTCTCGGTCACTCCCCAGCCATGATCCTCATGATTGTGTCCTTTGGGATGCGTTTTGTTACGGTGTTAATGTCATCATCGAATGGCAAGTCCGCTCACGATGCATCGCCGTGCGAAACTACTTTTTTTTCATTGAGTCTTCACCATATACTGGCGTTGCTTGAGGAAGAAAGTGACTTGTCACGGCAGACACCCAAGGCAGATGTTAAGGACTGATGCATATAAGTCCCTGTCGGCCTCGCGCAGGGTCAGAACACCACCTCGGAGTCCTCAAGCTGATGTCTCTCCTCGGCAAGATCGAGCAACAGCATGTATACATAGTTGTTGGGCACTTACTTGCCGCCGCGTGCGTGGGCATCTAATGTCACCAGTTCACAGTTCAAGGGACTATATTCGCAAGACCGTAGGCCTTTATGTTATCGTATATACGTACCTCCAATATGTCCCTTGATGATTAGGCGTCGTACGCACAACCTCACTGCCATCACACATCGTCCACTATCCGCCACCGTCCGCTCATCAACGCATTACTCTCCTTACAACTCTCATCCACCAACTTCCTACTCCCCTCCATGTCCACGACTGGCAGTTTGACTTCGAATCTCTTCCCTTCCGGCGGCGCTGCGCCCTCGATCTTGTACGGAAAAGGCACGTACTCCGGAAGCAAACCCAATTGTTTCAGCGCCGTCGCATGGTCCCAGCTGATGTGTTCATGACACAGTCGATCACCGCGCATGGCGACGACGCTGGTGAACGGTATGGCGAGTGGCTTTCCGGTGGGAGGGATACCAGGGAGTAGCCAGGGAACTTCTTTGGTGTGGGTCAAGGTGAAGATGAACTCGTCGATTACGCGATCGATGCCTACGGTTCGTGAGACGAGGGAGAGAGCGGTGTCGGGCGGATTACTGAAAACGAAGTGGTGCGTGTAGAACGCTGTCAGTCGCTCTTGGCCTACGCCTCCGCTGGTGGGTGGTCAGTATCCACCTGCAATGCGGATATTGGAGGATGGTGGTTAAGAGATACGCACGTCATAGTCGGGATGTGGTTGACATACGGCTGATCCACCATCGTAGCCATCGTTTTCTCTACATCCCTCTCGCCGAACTCGAACTTGGTGTGCTCTTCCCACACAGCCTCCAGATCGAAGAAGGGGCCGCCGAGCAGCGGCTTCAAGAAAGTCAGGCTCCTTGTATGCGCAATGCCCGCGCTGCGCTTGTGGTAGTGCTCGTCGCTTGGAAGTACCCATTCAGAATCTTTTGTCGCGTCTTCGTACCGGTAGGTTTTAATGATGTTCTCCGGGGATGGCACTGTTTTCTCCGAGGATGATTCTGGGACTAATGAACATGACTCGCGGCGATGAGGGTCTGGCAGCCCCGCGACGTGTATTAGTTGAGGTGGCAGTGCTGTCGAGCTTAGTGTGGAAAGGCTTTTGCCGCCGTAAGAGATGAGAGCCTTGATCGCAGGGTTCTGACAGGCAGCTTCTTCGAGATAGTAGGGAATCCTGGATAAGTATGCTGGAAATGATCGTCAGTATACTACTAAAATGACCGTACGCCATCCGAGCGGGAGGCGACGCACATATCAGTCCAACACCGTTGCCGAACTCGCATTGCTCACAATCCCTCAATACATCCAAGGCCTTCTGGAGAGGAAATTCGCCATCGACTTTGCCCGGTACCAGCAGCTGCGAGACAGTCAGTATTTCGACCAAGCCATCACATTTCCTGTCATTCATCACGCGACATGTTCCATACGTCCATCCTCATGCCCACTTCACCAAGACATAACAACATACCTGCACAACCGCGAACCCCTCCTCCGCCCACTTCTTCAGCGGCGGCGGATCCAAACACCCCTCCTTCGCTTCCCTCGCCGCATAATGGTTCAACACCAGAACCAAACCCGGCCCTTTCCCTCGCCTCGAAAGCGGCGCCTGAAGTGTGATATCCGATGTTATGATTTGAGGCTGCGGTGGCGGGGCCTGCGCCGGCGATGACGATGGTGGGGTAACTGGCGCGTCACCCATGATTGTCGCGATTACGATATTTACTTTTTTTGTGGTGAAGGAAAAGGGTGAATCGGTGGAGGTGTGAGTATATGGGTAAGGTCGAATACAATGCGATTGTTGCGAACAAAGGAAATAACGTTCCTGACACCTTCCTAACGCGTGCAGACGGGTAAGTGTGGGGTAAAAAGGGCGAACCGCTGCTCCCGCAGTCACTACATCCCATCGACCACCAGACATCCTGCGCTCATCAGCTATTTGAGCCCCTCGCATACTAGCTTGCATCTGCGCGTGTCTTGATCCTGCACGACCACGTCCTCCTACATCTTCTCATGTAACACCCACTCGATATCAAGTCGATCACTCCCGCAAGTAGAGTGCTCGTGTCGCACCAACCCCTCTGTAAGAGCTCGATTGAGCGATTCCGCGCATATCGCACGGCGTCACGAGATGGTGCTGTTACACCTTATAGCGTTGTTGACGCGTGTAGGCCGGCCTTTTCTGGGTCATGTGCGAGATGCTTCATAACCGAAATGATGCGATTGGGTTGATTGCAGCTGGAGTAGCGTGGTCCATGGCATGTTCGTGGGTATCAAGGGGATTCGAGTGCGAAAGAGGGTTAGATTTGGGGATCTGCCAGAACCTTGTAAGCGCGTTGAAGCTGTCACATCTGTTTCCAGAGAGACGCAGGCAGGGCATACATGTCTGCGCAGGACCAGGTAGACCTGTGTCGTCCCGTTGCTGTACCAGGCACGCATTGGCCAGGCTACCTAGGTATGTATCGCATCCAATCGACCTCCTCTACAGTATGTGTGTCGCCAAACCCACGCGGAGACAGCGCCAAGCGGGATATGTTGATGTCGCGTGGACTCTCCGTGCATAGTGCCAACGGAGAAGCCGGTGTGCAAGAGGAAATGAGCGCAAAATGTGAAAGTGAGCGCGGAATCTGTTTCGTCCACAGGACATTAACGCGTTCATATCCAACGCGTCTGTCGCTCTTCTTCCTCGACGTCGCCATCTCCTTCTCACGACGAGCATACCCAACATCACGATGCACATCTACCCTACTCCGATCCTTTCGCGCACGACTCTAAAGAAGTACACTGGCAGGTACCGCACCAAGAACGGCTACCGCGCTATCGTTACATCCGACGGCGTTTCCCTATATCTGGGCAGCATCAGCCATGTCTGCGACAACATCCTCGAAGCCTGGGACCTAAAATGGCCCAACATACCCACGTTCAGAATTGGCGGTGATTCTGCAGAGGAACGGGCCCTCGACGCTGAATTCTAGGCCTCCAAGCCTTGCGTCATCAATACAAGCGAGGTGTCACGAATCCGTGACAGACAAGACGGTTTAGACCCCATCCAGGTCTGCATGCGCGTAGTAACACCAAATCGATAGTTGTCTTGCCGGGTATTGCTATTCCTGTCGATGATGTGAGACTACAAGACAAGGAGTGTTAACGGTTATGATTGGTATCATGCAATGTGAGCTCCCGAGCCCCCAGTCATGTTTTATCTTTCTACATCTTGAGCTAATGTAGTCGCTAGGCTGCTGTGGAAGCTACCCCAGCATCGCTCGTCCGTCCCTTGAGTTCTTTTAGTACCCTCGCTGCGATCGCGACGGCATCTTCAGGGAGACCTGTATATCGTAAGCGACTATCGCCGAAACTGCACTTCCGAAGCGCACGACTTACCAGCAACTCTCGCGACCTTCAACGCATGGCTCTCGCGATTAACACCCTTCCTCAACCGATGCACGTATGAGAACTTGCCGTCTGGCTCTTCAAGGACATCATTGCAGTAGCAGCCCAACTTCTCAAAGTCCTTTGTCATATCCGTGAGCGCGTGGAAGTGCGTTGCGAAAAGTGTTCGGCATTGGTTGACGTGGTAGAGGTGGTGGAGGCAGGCGTATCCTACCGCGATACCATCCTCGGGTGTGGTTCCCCGCCCAACCTCATCCATGATGACAAACGAGCGAGGCGTAGCCTCTTTGAGGATCTGGGCTGTTTCCAGCATTTCGACCATGAATGTGGACTGATCTTGGTACAAGTTGTCAGCTGAGCCGACGCGACTGAAAATCTTGTCGACTAGCCCGATCTCCGCATACTCCGCTGGGACGAAAGATCCAGTCTGCGCTAAGATAGAGATAAGTGCGTTTTGGCGCAGGTATGTACTCTTTCCCGCCATATTCGGACCGGTGATGAGCCAGATACGCTCTCCATCGCCGAGTTGGCAGTCGTTGGGGGCGAACCTGCGGCCTTGTTCGCTGAGGCCGGCTTCGACGACAGGATGTCGACCACCGACGATGTTATGCGATGGCTCTGCACTCAGTATAGGTCTGATGAGATCTTTCTCCACCGCGAGTGTAGCAAAGGCGCATGCGACATCAAGCTCATCGAGCACAGCGGCGTTACGTCTAAGTTTCACAAGGTTCTGGACGACACCTTCGCGCAGCTCACCGAGAACACGTTGTTCTTCTGATCGGATCCGGAATCGTGTCTCGTCCATTTGCGCGCCCAGTGAAGTCCACTCCGGGATTTGGAACGAGCGGGTAGACTTGCTGCTACTCAAGCTTCTTGGATAAAAGGTAGTAGCGCGAGCTGCGTCCTTGCCCTTAACGTGAGCAATGTGCGCGAGGTTCGGAGTCCACTTCAACACCAAGCTTTCTGTACCCATCTTTTGACGCATCTCTTGTTCCAGGCTTGCCTTTGCTTCTGTCATCTTGTCCAAGCTCTTGTGAAGGCGTTCAAGTGTCGTACTGGCATTGCGCTTCATGATATGAACATCTTCCCGTCCATCGGTCGCACTCTTGAAGCTCCCAGTGATCATGGTAAGTTTCGGCTGAACGCGCTTCGGTAAGCTCTTCAGATCTTCTTCTCCAGCCTCGCGACCGATCACATCCTGGGCCAAATCGGACATCTCTTCCGCCTCTTCGTTCTCCATGCGGTGGTACTCGGAGAGACCGTCTTCGTCGATCGCATGCTGTATGCGGTTTGCGAGTTCAAGCGGTTGCGCTAGATCAAATCGACGCTCTAACATCGAAATGCACTGTCGTCTTCGGGTATCCGATGTGGCTGGAGCTATGTCGACTGGAACAGAGTTCCTCGAAGTTGCGTGCTCGTGAAGGACGTCCACTATGCTGGAGGTGACAAGGATGGTCTTCGACAGCTCCATAAGGTCATCCGCGTCGCCGCGGCCATATGTGAACTTGGTGACCAATCGTAAAGAGTCGAAAGTTTGCTCCAAGAGTAAGATGATGTCCTGACGGAGTTGCGGGTACTGTATGGTCTCCTCTACGAGGTCAAGTCGATCGTTGATAGTTGATAACGACATTGATGGCGCCGCTCGGATGTGTTAGCGATGGATCGGATTCACTGGTGTGCTGCTACTTACACAAGCGTTCCGTAAGCAGTCTGGTACCGCTTTTGGTGACCGTCTTCTTGAGTGCATGTAGCAAGCTTCCTTCATAAGTACCCTCGCGAATGGTGTTTCGGATCTCTAGCGCTCTCAAACTGTTCTTATCAATACTCATGTACTCCTCGGCTTGATGTCGCACTGGCGCGCGCAGTCGTGTCCGTGAACCAAGCAGTTGATGCTTGACGTAATTTAACAACGAGCCTCCTGCTGCGACTTCACCGGGAGTGAAGTTGGCCGTGTTAAAGTCTTCCACGACGTCTTCCAACATCGGTATCCAGTCGTCGATAGTGAGCGGCTTTTCTGAGGGTTCCTGGAATGTGATGACATGTCCGTCTTCTTGCATGATCGAAGCGATACGTGAGTGATCCTGTTCTTGAAAGATGCTGTCTAGTACAATTTCTCGGGGTTTGATACGGGCTACCGCGGACGGCAAGGATGCGATATCTGTGCTCTGAGTAAGAAAGTCGCCACTTGACAGATCAATCCAGGCCAGGCCGACCTCCGTACGGGGTAAGTTGAGAACAGAGGAGACACTCGAACTGCCAGGACTCTCCTTCACAGCCTTTTCCTGCGTGAGCACTTCGGGATTGACATAGATGCTGAGGAGATAGTTGTTCTCCCATGGGTCCATGAAATGCTCATCGATCAGTGTACCTGGTGTCACGATACGCGATACTCTCCTTGTATACTGTGGCTCTCCCTTTGCCTTTGTCGGAGCATCGTTTTGATACTCGTCACTAATAGCGACATGTTTGTTGAGGTCTTGGACGAGAATCTTCAGGTACCGGTCCAGTTGGTATGCGGGGAAGCCTGCCTGACGGTGTCAGTTTCATGATAGGTCGCCGGATTGAACTACTGACCATAGAGACGGCGGGCTTCTTGCTACCTCTTGAAACCTTCCTCTTGGACTTTTTGATGTTCAGCAAGGGCGCAAATTCGTCCGCATGCTCGAAGTATAGCTGCAGCCTGTATTAGCTCGGGACATGTCGCACAACCTGCATGCTTGCCTCATAGAAGCCACCGACACGTGTGACTAGCACGCAGTGACTGAACTTGAGCATGTTGTTGCGCACTTGCTGTAACAGCGGAGGGTATTCCGGTTCGGCATCATCTTGGGGTGGTAGTGCCTCGGCCTCCAGAGGTCCTTGTTGGAGGTCGTCAAGTGTCACGGCAGACTTCCTTTTTGCGCCACGACATTGCGACACCGGGAAGCATGCTTGACCGACGAATGGTGTTGCACGTGGTTTCGCGATCGGACGCGTCAAGCTTGAGAGTGGGCGGACAGAAGCGGCATTGCAAACCCTCCGGCTGAGCTGATGTGAAGCTCTTCGGCACGCCAGATCTTGACGCGTTAAACATCGGACATGTCTGGAGAGCATCCTCGGATGAAATTGGCGTCAGGGAGATGTGGGGATAGCGCGGTGGTAGAGATGCAGGAACGCGTCTCGATGCGGTTAGCGCCCAATCCGCACACGCGGGGTATCCGGAGCTTCAACAAAGTTACGACGCCGATGTCATTGACGTTCGACGTTTACACCATCCACAAACAATGGCACCCCAATTCGAGCCCATGAAGAATGACCTCATTCTGCGCACAGCACGAGGTCAATAGCCTTGATCGGCCAGCAACGTACAGTACATTGACACTCAACAGGCGAGAAGGTCGAGCGCCCACCGATATGGGTGATGCGCCAAGGTAAGATACATCGTGATGAAACCTCGCCCATGCTGACAGCATATAGCCGGACGCTACCTGCCGGAATATCACGAGGCGAAAGGCAAGAACGACTTCTTCGAATGCTGCCGCAGCCCCGAAATCGCCTCCACTCTCACCCTCCAGCCCATTGAGCGCTACGAAGGCCTCATCGATGCCGCCATCATCTTCTCCGACATCCTCGTTATTCCGCAAGCGATGGGAATGGAGGTCATAATGGTGGATAAGAAGGGCCCCCATTTCCCCGAGCCGCTGCAAACGCCAGAGGACAAGCAGTACAAGGAGGTTCTTGAGAGGAAGGTGGATGTTGCCGAATCGTTGGACTATGTTTACAAGGCCATCACCATGACTAGGCAAAAGCTGGCAGGAAGAGTGCCGCTGATTGGCTTCTGTGGCGCGCCCTGGACATTGCTGTGCTACATGGTCGAAGGCGGTGGCAGCAAGATGTTCATCCAGACCAAGACATGGATCTACAAGTACCCCGAGGAGAGCAAAGCGCTGCTGCAGAAGATTGCCGAGCTTTGCGTGGAGTACCTGGCTCTTCAAGTTCAGGCTGGTGCACAGGTACGTGGCATTGCCAAAACACATCGGTCCGATGCTGACTGTCGCAGATGATCCAAGTCTTCGATTCCTGGGCAGGAGAGCTATCGCCAACCTCCTTCAAAACCTTCGCTCTGCCATATCTCAACTACATCGCCGACAACCTGCCCACACGTCTCCAATCCAAGGGCCTCGAGCCAGTTCCTATGACCGTCTTCGCGAAAGGCGCATGGTACGCCTTGTCGGATCTTTGCGACACCAAGTACAACACAATCGGTCTCGATTGGCTACATGCGCCGGCGGAAGCATACAAGATTGCGCAGGCAAAGGGCAAGGTGCTTCAAGGTAATGCGGACCCGGGTGTCTTGTACGGTACCAGGGAGTCTATTACAAAGGTGGTAGAGGAGATGGTCGCTGGGTTTGGTGGCGGTAAGCAGGGGTGGATCGCCAACCTTGGACACGGTAAGTCAAGCCATGGGTCATATGACGTGCCGCATCGTGCTAACAGCTCGCAGGTATCACACCGTTCGTCAAGCCAGACGACCTGAAGTTCTACTTTGAAGAGATCCACAGATTAACGAAAGCCTAAGGTTGTATTGGCGGTTTGACATAGCTATATAACCGTCCCGAAACAGCTTTCCAAGCATTCCCAGTCTCTGATGATTTTGATCACTCTCATTTGACGGCCGTCACGTGGTGCGCACTAACCTACCTAGGTAGGTCGCTTACCTTCCGCTCTCCCCCGCCAAGCACTACCTACGACCATCAGCAAGCAATTTCGCGTCTCGTCCAAAATCGCCAATACGGTCAGCAGGACCAAGTCAGAGATGCTGCCTAGGAACAAGAAGTCAAAGCTCCCACGCCGAGTGATCCGCCGGTCGCGGAAATCCAGCCCCAAAATGTTAGTCAAGCCGTACACAGCGTTCAAGCCACCCCCATTTAACGGCGAGAATTAGTGAACAGCCCGATATCCACAACACTCACTGCGACATCATCGAATCGCCGCTCCTTCGCCTCCCTCCCGAGCTAAGACACATGATCTTCCCGCTCGCACTCGATCACGGGACAATCCGTCCCAAGATCGGAAAGACCTGGCTGGAGCCCAAGTTGAAAAACTACCCAATACGAGAGCGATTCGGCCTGCTATTCACCTGCCGACAAATCTACGCGGAAACTGCTCTCCTGCCATACAGGCTCAACACATTTGTTGTCGGGGGCCACGACCCCATTGTAAATCTCAAGACTTTCTTGGGTAGGCGCTCTGAGGCTCAGAGGTATGTGATGGACAAGGTGCAGTTTTACCATGACGAAGAACCGCGGGCGGCGACGGCGTGGGTGGAGATGATTGCTAATCATGAGATTGATCCGGTTTGGTGGGCATGGTGAGGTTGCGCTGCTTCACGGATTGGAAGTTGTTTCGATCAAGCTACAATGGGTGAGCCTGGATACCTTCGGTGTGCTCTTGAAGGGTAGGAAATAACAGGGGTTACCGTAGACCTTCACGCCTTACTTTCGGATCCCCAGCCATTCACAAATTAGACATCGATGACCTCCTCACTACGTGATCAATACATCTCAGCTCATTGCTAGAGCAATGTAGATCTCAAGGGTGATTCCCTGCTTGGCTCGAAGGAGCCTTTTTGAGGAGTCTTCACTCGCTGCCTGGCGTGATGTACGTTACGGATATAATCACGCTAATCACTCACCCTTATTACCTCCAGTTGAACTCTCAATCTGTGTCAGCTAACGCTGCAGCCACAGCGAATTCCACCAGAATGGCGACTCGCGCACAACGGAAGGAGTGGTTAGAGAAAAGCATGAATCCTTTATGTCAAAGGCCGCTGACGCGAACGGACATGTAAGTTACATTGCAGGATACGATTGGCAGAATTAACACACAGCCTCGAGCTCCGAGCGCAATGCAGCCGCCTCGCCCCTCCTCCGCCTGCCCCCCGAGCTACGAAATTCGATCTTCGCCTACGCCCTCTACCACGAGAGATTCATTCTCGGTCCCCCAGACTCATGCGGCTATGTGGTCAAGTCGCGTGACAAGAATTTACTCAGCCTTCTCTACGTTTGTCGTCAGATCTATTCCGAAACGGCATTCCTGCCGTATAAGCTAAACAGCTTCGAGATCTGCCGAAGCAGTCCCGTCAGCTTAGTCGCGTTCCTCAAGCGACGGACGGCTACTCAGATAGAGCTCATGCAGGATGTTATTAGGAGATGGAAGTACATCAAGACGCGTTGGGAGCGCAGATGGCTCTTCTATAGGCGTATGTCTGCGACTGAATGGGTATCATGTTTGAGTACGCGAGGGGATCCGTCCTCCGTCTATTGGCTTGACTGGAAACCCGGATCTTAGCGGGGGGTTTTCTGGGGGGAAAGTGCGGTGCTTGGAAATTTCTCATGGAAGTGAAGGGGTCATAGTTGCCTCCCCCTGGCGTCGTGCTTGACGCACTGACGTAGTGTATATATCTACAGTTTCTACCCTGTTCCATCACTCTCTCGTTTTGTCTCCAACATACGCATCCGCTCCAGTGACCAAGATTTCAGCCTCGATTACAGCATGTCGAGTCCGAAGAAGCACTCCGAGGGCGCCAAATCTGATCTCGCGCCTGGCACCAACCCGATTATCAACAATTTGTAAGTCAATTGCCGCGGTCAAGGGAATGAGGACTGACACATAGCGACAGCGTCGATCCCACTCCCGACTACAGTACTGCGCTTACGACTGCCTCTCATCCGGCCACTACCCGGGACGAGATGTGAGTTCGCCACAGATAAGACGAAGTAACGGTGACTGACAGAAGACAACAGTGCCAAGCGCAACGCAGACTCCCTTCTCCTTCGCCTCCCCGCCGAACTTCGCAACAACATCTTTGCCCTTGCCCTCACTCAGGGAGATATCAAGTGGAACTACGGCGCCTGGCTCAAGAACAAGAACTCGGTCAACCTTCTCTACGTTTGTCGGCAGACTTATGTAGAGACTGCCCTTCTCCCCTACTCACTGAACACATTTTCATGTATAAAGATCCACACAATCTCCTTGTACAAGTTTCTGAAGTGCCGAACGCCTGCGCAAAGGGCGGCTATGCTAGCAGTGCCACGCGAATACCCGTATAATAGCGGTAGGAAGCTGGTGTTCTCGGCGGCTGAATGGATGGCCATGTGTCAGGCTGGGTTGGAGTGACGTGATGGCTGAATTGGAGATTTTTTAATTCTGTCCTCCCAGCTACGAGGCCTCACGAGTCCTAAGAGCCATCTAGGGCACGGTAGAAGCTCCGAGTATTTCCAAACAATGGCAAGATTGCATCTCAATGAGCGGTCCTTTTATTCGTGTCGAGTAATACTACTCAAGTTGCTTCACTTCTTGTCACTTCGTACCTAGCGCACTGACCCAAACAGTATATACTCTATTCTGGTTTTACTTCCATTGCCTCATGCTCCTCCCCTGATCTTAAATATTCGCCCTTGAACTCGCCAAATCAGAGTCCGACTTCAGTATGTCAACCTCGAAAACGCAGCGCACTAAGTATGGGACGACGAACCGCTTGAATGGACGTCGAGACGACATGTTCGTCAAAGCCTTCTATAATTCAACACTGTCAGCTAACAGGTCTTGCTAGCACCGAGCGCAACGCCACCTCATCCCCACTCCTCCGTCTTCCCCCCGAGATCCGCAACCACATCTTCTCTCTCGCCCTCAATCACGGCTACATCCCGATAATCTTTCCAGAGCGCTCTCATCGTTGGAAGATTAAACGAGCTGAACGCCGAGGCTTCGAATATCGCTACCACTACAAGCAATTCTGCAACATCTTCTACAACCCCATCAGCTTCTCGGCGAGGTCTTGTTCCTTCAAGCTGAAAAAGCGCCCAGTCCGCAATTCCAAGCGTCTCAACCACCTCAAGCGGCCCGTCAACCTCCTGTTCGTGTGTCGCCAAATTCACGCCGAGACCGCACTGCTTCCGTACAAAGTCAATACATGGGTGATCGAATTGAACAGGCCCTGGGAGAGGATAAGAGAAGGCTATGAGCGGTACTATTGGCATGATCCAATGCACTTCGTCGAGCAATTGACCGCAATCCAGAGGGAGGTCATGGAGAATGTATGGTCCGTTGACGAGTTTGGAGGCAAACATACGGTGTACATGGGGTCTGCGAAAGTATGGATGGAGCGTTGGTTGCCAGGGCCGAGACCTTGCGTCCTTGAGAGTATGGAATGTGAGGACACGAAGATATTTCTGTTGCCACGAGGTGGCGGTTGACAAGGTGCATTGGTCGCGCCTTCTCGCGGGTACGCCCGAAGTGGGACTAGCTTCGTAATCACCTTCAGTAGCGCAATGACTAGACCCTTGTTCTCACTCCCTAGGTCCCATGCTTCTTCTCTTCTACTACCTTGAACTCTTAATCCTCTTGAACCAACTTCATAGCGGTCACTAGTGACGTCAAAACCAATATGTCGGCACCAGAGGAGCAGTCAGAGAGTGATCGCGATCAAATGTAAGTTCCTCGCGTTCACGAATTAGGATGACTTATACTGACACGTCCCTTTAGCACCCAGCAAAACGCCAAATCACCTCTTCTGCGTCTTCCTGCCGAGCTCCGCAACCAGATCTTTGCCCTTGCCCTCACACAGCCCATCATTGAGATCTTCTGGTCTAGGGCGCGCTGGAGGTTCATGTTTTCCGAGGATTGTCGGCCAGACTACGTTCGACAACCGCTCAACCTCCTCTTCGTGTGTCGACAAACCCATGCTGAGACTGCCACTCTTCCCTACAAGCTTAATACATTTGCTGTCGATTTCGTTTACCAGCGTGATCCTCCGAAGAACTTTCTTTATCAGAGGACAGTGGAGCAGAGGGAAGTGATGTGGGCAGTGTCAGCGAGCGAAACCCAAACACTGGAAAAGCTGGAAAGCCTATGTCCGCAACGAGATGGATGGCTTCTATGGAAGCTGAGGCTTTCGTGCTTTATACTTGGAAACGAGGTGAGATGGAGGCTTGACTGCGCCGCGATTCTCCAGTTGTGAGAGCGAGTGGATGCATGCGTCTCATTATCTATTTGTCTATGCAACAAGAGGTTTAATACAGCTAATTTCAATCCCTGCGAGTATGTTTTTGAGATGTAGAGCTACTTGTCCCGTGCACCTGCCTTGTGCGACCTGCGCACTGACTGCAAACATATACCCTTTCGTTTTCAGTCCTCTCCTATGCCTACACCTACGTCTGTGGTTCGCGCTGCAACACCCACTACCAGAGCTGACGCCGACATGAATTCAGCGAAGCAGTCGGAAGAAGCGCGCGCGCACATGTAGGTCACAAAGTAAGCCAGTCTCTTGGGAGCAGGTGGTAATCAGTGACTGCAGTACTCAACACAATGCTACCGCCTCCCCGCTCCTCCGTCTGCCCGCAGAGATCCGCAACATGATCTTCGCCTACACCCTCAGTCACGGCGACATCGAGCTGAAGGTCATTCCCAGGATAATCAACGGACCCAGTCCTAAGGGCTGCTGGAAGCATCGCAACTGGGCAAATCCTTTCGACATTAGTCTCCTCTACGCCTGTCGTCAGATTTACTTCGAGACCGCGCTACTTCCATACGAGCTGAATGTCTTTGTGGTTTTCGGGAACGACAGCGCGTTCCAGGACTTCTTTGCACACCGGACATTGGCACAGGTTGGCGCTTTGGCGAGAGTGCGAAGGCAACCGGACACGCGTTTGGGAGCGCGACCTGCGACTGAATGGTTGGAGAGACTTCGCGTTTGCAGCGCGAGGACATGGACGAGGACATGAAATCGAGACTAGGGCTTAGTATGGTAGATGAAAGGCTATATACAGTTGGGCACCGTCTCCACGTCGACATTGCATCTCATCATATACGCCTTCTTGGTCGTGAATTTAGTCGTCCAGAACTGCCTTTCCAAATTCTCTCTTACTTGCAGTGAAGCAGCTAAGTAAGTAAGAAGAACTGCAGCCCTCACCTTTACCTATCCTTAGCGGTCATCGACTAGCGCACTAGGGAGCAACTACATATGCCTCTGTTCCCAGACCTTCTTTCTCTTCTACACTCACTTCTCCATCCCAGTCAGCTACCTGATATTAACACCAAGTTCAGCATGTCGACCCACGTCAAGCAGCAGCAAGACACCAGCTCCAGCATGCTCTCCGACGAAATGCGCCCAGAGGAGATGCAGATCGCAGAGGAGCTCAAGATCAAGGCCTTGCGAGAAGAGAAACGACTGAGCGAGATGTAAGTCGACCTCAGATGAGAATGCGTTGACCAGCGCTAACTCAGTTCTCCGAATAGTACCTACCTCAACGCAACAACCTCGCCTCTCCTCCTCCTCCCAGCCGAGATCAGAAACATGGTTTTCGCGTTTGCTCTCGGTCAGCAATATCTCGTGATCAATAACAAGGGGACCCTAGTCACCAGAGGAGTTCCAGTTCATCTCCCCAGACTCCTCTACGTCTGTCGCCAAATCTACGCTGAGACAGCACTTCTTCCATACGCACTCAATATCTTCGCCATCTGGGACCTTTCAGTGTACCCCCTGCCGACATGGGGCTCCTCCAAACTATACGCATTTCTGGAGCGTCGAACACCAGCTCAGATCGAGGCAATGACGGAGGTGATGAGGGTTGGTTACGCTGAGGAGAATGGGAGACCTGCAACTGAGTGGATGAAGACTGAATACGATGCGTTCATGGGGACTGAATTCGATAATTAGAGCGTGGATATCGCGAACCAGTGGCTTCGGGTAGGACGGCGACCATGAAGGCGAGGGTGATGCATCTCCCACTCGAGTTCTGGATTGCCATCTCTTTCTAGTGGGTTCTGTTTCAATTTATCTATAGCAGCGGAGCGGTGTAGCGTGGGCGCAAAAGACGTCTCAGTCACCTTCACCTGCCATTCTTGACTAGCGCGCTTGCCAAAATTGATTCATTTTTGTTTCTCGTTTGCTCAAAATCTTCTTCCCTTCTACACCCACCTCCTAGTCTCCGTCAACGACATGAACATCACAGACGACCACGGTTCTACCGAGGCCTTGCCCAAAGCGCAACCAGAAGGCATCACGCAGCAAGAGACCATGAAGCAACGCTCGGATGAGATGTGAGCTAGCTATAAACGAGATCTATGTTAGTCATACTAACAACCCTCCTCCAGCACTTGCCTCAACGCGACAAATTCACCCCTCCTTCTGCTCCCCGCAGAGATCCGTAACATAATCTTCGAGTACGCCATGTACCATGGCACCATTAGCCTGGGAGAACCATTCGACTGCGACTCATGCACTGTCGGACCTGAGCACCGTCATGTTGAACCTCTGCTCTTTGTCTGCCGCCAGATCCTCTCAGAGGTCGCCATTCTACCCTACAAACTTAACATTTTCTGCTTCAATTGCAATTGCTTTTCCAATCTCATCGACCTCCTCAAGCAGCGAACGCCAGAGCAACTTGAACTCATGGTGGAGGTGAGGTGCAAGTACAGTTACGACCGCCGAGTGCACGTGGACTCTGCGGCTAGATGGATAGAGCGTTGGGAGGAATGGTTGGACTAGAAGCTTGAAGATGAGTCAGAGCATATTGGGCTGAGGTAGTGAGGACGAAAGCGATAGTAGACACAAGGTGTGGTGTCAATCTGACGTCGTCGCCATAGCAGGCGCACACGACACACTCTTCTTCCGGTGTATCTGTACATAGTGCGCTTCCCCACAATAGCGTTATCCAAGTTCTCTATAGCAGTCTGATGGTGCAATGCGAAATTAGAAGTCCGGCCATCCACCTTCTCCTACTCATTTCGACTAGCGCGCTGACTAGTCAATACATCCCAGCGTTCTTGTTCCAACGCTCCTTCCCTTCTACACTCACCTCGCAGCCACCCCTCCCCACCAACGAGCCGCACACAAAAGACAGCTCTAGTATGTCTGTCTCCACAATGCAACCAGACGCCGAGCCTAGAATCGCGCATCGAACTGATCGCTCGGACGAGATGTAAGCCAGTGTCTGCCTCAGATGAAGCCACCGCGACTGACTGTCAAAGCTTCGAGCGCAATGCAACGACCTCACCTCTACTCCTACTACCTGCGGGAGTCCGAAACATGATCTTCGCCCTCGCCATGTCCAACTCCACCATAACCGTAGCCTACACCGTCGACATCCACAACCAGAGTATCCCCTGCAAAGAACTCTACCCCCCGCGACCCTACCCATCCGCCTCTCTACTCTTCGTCTGCCGGCAAATTTACTCCGAGGTCGCCATACTACCATACTTACTCAACAAGTTCGTAGTTTTAACAACGCGTTTAAAAGACCTTCAAGTCTTTCTGGATCGGCGGACACAGGAGCAAGTTGAGCTTATGCGGGATGTGAGTTGGGAGTTTAATCTTCCAAATAGCAACACGGCTGCTATGGAATCTTCGTATTGTGCGAAGTGTTGGCTGGAGTGGTTGAAGAATTACACAAACAATTCTTGATAATGTCACGCAACAAGAAATCCCGGTCACCAAATTGCGCGACATCTTCATAGCCAGTTAACGCTGTATGTGACATTGCTCCATCCGCCCGCTGCGATGATGTTCAACCTAAGGTGTCTCCTCGGTCTTACTAGTAATCAAACTTCATGACCTACATACCCCCCTACCCCCCTACCCACCCCAAACCTTACATGTCATAATGAGCGACTTCACACGTCAAACCATCACGTCAAGCCATCACATCAACCATCACATCAATCATCTACTTGCCCTCATCATAAACAGTATCACAAACCCATCGCATTTGCATTACCATCTCAATTCACCCACCACAACCCCACATTTATACCAAAACCATGCCATTGTCCAGGCTGACTGACCTGTCTAAAGCAACGCCGGCAACAAGCCACAAAGACTATAATGATGCCTTTGCTTACAGAAAGTAAAAGAAGGGAAAACACAAACTCTCTTTGGTATCGCAGAAGCCTCATATCACGAAGCTAACAGTGTCGAAAACCTCCATGGAATGCAAGAACTCCTCCACGCCGTCTCCTTCCTCTACACCTCATACCTCATACTCGCATTCATGCATCGTAAAATCATGCTAACTCCATCTCCATCCCACTCAGGAATCTCTACTACACACCTCTTACTGAGACGCACACTGCACGCGCTCAGCCCCCGGATGCATATCATCATCATCATCCTCCATCCCACCCATACCCCTCGCGCGCTGTCCCTCACCACCCGCATCAACATCCTCGAGCGTAAAGTCCTCAGTCATAGCATCAGCCGGCGGCATAGACTCCGGTACCTTTCGGGGCGGCAGCACAGACTCCAGCGCGCGAATCTGTTCGGGGGACATGGGCCCACCGTCCTCGTTGTTACCGAGGCGCTCGGGGAACTTGACGTCGAACTGGATGTACAAGTTGCCAAAGTCGTGGTGGCGGTACGACGGCATGCCTTGGCCGCGGATGACCTTGACTTCGCCGGGGGAAATGCATTCGCCGGGGATGATGTCGACGGTTAACCAGCGCTCGTCGAGGTGCTCGATGTGGATCTGGCCGCCGGCCAGCGCGGTCAGGAGATCGATTTCGGCGTGGTAGAAGAGGTCGTCGTCTTTGCGTTGGAAGCGCGCGTGTGGTTTCTGCTCGATTTCGAAAACAACGTCGCCGGGTTCTACGCCGGGCAGTTGGTCACCCTCGCCTCGGAACTCGATCTTGTGGCCGGACTTGACGCCGCGATCGACGTGGACGTGGAGGACCTTGCGCTCGATTATCGTCTTCTTGCCGTTGCACTGCTTGCAGCGGTCCTTGTCGCGGATGATTTCTCCTTCGCCCTGGCAGTCTGGGCACACGGTCTGGAAGCGCTGGATCATGGGTCCCATCTGGCGCATCATGTGCTTCATACCGCGGCCGTCGCAGCCAGCGCACTTCTTGACGGCGCCGTCCTTACCGCCCGCGCCGTGGCACTTGGGGCAGATGACGGATTTCTGTAGGGCGAGCTTGGATACCTTGCCGCGGTAGACATCTTCGAGCGAGACCTTGTGGACGTGCGAGATTGTGCGCGCCTTCTTGGGTCCTTGTTCGCGTCCGCCGCCCATGCCGCCGCCAAACATGCCTCCGAAGGGACCGCCGCCGCCGCCGAAGAACTGTGCGAATAGGTCCTCGGCTGCCATGCCGCCACCGCCGCCCATGCCGCCTTGCTCGAGTCCTTCCTCGCCATATTGGTCGTATATTTGGCGCTTCTGCGGGTCTGAGAGAACTTCGTATGCGTGGGAGAGGTCCTTGAACTTGTCGGCGGCCTCGGGGTTGTGGGCGTTCTTATCGGGATGCCACTTGAGCGCTCCCTTCTTGTACGCCGTCTTTAGTTGTGACTCGGCGCAGTCTGGCGCTACCTGTGGATTGTTAGTCTTCTGGCCTTGAGCTGTTCGTGGAGATGATTGTGCTTACCCCCAGGATATCGTAGAACTTTGTGTCTTTGACCATGGTCGCGGTTCGTGGTTGTGTGTTAGAGCCGTAGACGAGGGGCTAGCGGGGTCGTAAAAGTCGGGTTGAGGGGCAATATAGAAAGGTCTCTGGCTTGATATGTGGAGAGCGCGAGTCGCGGTGTCGGAGAGTTCTTAAATCAAGTCAGCGTCAAGTCTCGGGGGGCCAGAAGTCGCAGTAGTCGCCCGGTTGCAGCTCAGCCTCGCAGGTGAAAGAAGGCGCGGGTAACTCGTCGAAGTGCTGACACAATGAGAGAAAAGGCGCTTACCTAAAGTCGCCGCGGGGATTCTTCGCGGTCGAGAAGTAAAGAGAACGGGTATCTGACTCGGAGGCAAGGTGCGTGTTCACAGTGTATATTGGGTGCGTGGGAGGGCGACGCTTGTCGACTTAAAAGTAGTAACCGGGATGTTGCAAATGCACCGGCTGCGCCGAGCGAGAGAAGATTCCAAACAATTCCATGCCCTTCCACGCTGCCTCGCCAGCCCAAGATTGCCTGAATCCGCTCGTCTGCCTGCCCAAACTACGCAGCAGGCTCCACTCTCTCGAATGTCACTGCGAAATCCAATATTCACTATCTCAATGTCTGCAAATGGCGTGAGAACATGCGTTTGCCATTGCGCATTGCTTGGGAAGCTTCGATGGAGGCACGCTATGACCGCTTTTGGCCGAGCCAATCAGCGGAGGGGCGATCAGGCAGGGCTCTTATCGCCGAAGATTGGCGAAGTTCCGGGTGCCGGAAGGGGACCCTTCTTTTGCCTTGCGCCATCGCGCAGCTTCGCCTCAGCCACATGGAGAATTTGATCGCGAGTAAGGCCGAGAAGACGCCTCAGGCAGAACGTCAAGGCAGCAGCAGTACATACAGTACATTGCACACAACAAGCGGGAAAGCAGAGCCCCGCCTAGATGTACGTCAGCAGCCTGTAATAACATCAGTAGTACCGTCAAGCGTTCTCATCAGCAGTTTGGATTATCGTGAACCAATTATCGTCTACTATTCTTGCTCTTCTACTCTGCATAATTCACTCCTGACTGTACTCCTCATCTCTGGGTTTCATCCTCTCAAGCCCTTCGCAGTACAGAATGACATCATAGCCTAGTCAACTATCATCAGCCCAGCAGTCCAGATCCTCATGCACCAAGTAGTCCATACCAATATCCTCAACTGATCTATTTTCTACGTCTAACGTCCATTGGCACTTTTCCTAACACCCGCTACCGTCCCCGTCCCCCAAAAACCCCCCAACCCCCCAGAACCTCTCTCTCCCCCCAAAACAACCAACTCCCCTCCTCACCCTCGCCATACTTGCCCAATCCTTCTCTCCTCCCCCTCTCCCCCAACTCACCCCACCTCATCAAAAGATTGCCATCAAGCACGCCCCTCGCTCCAGTCCCCGCATCCCACCCGCCATCACCCGTCGCCTCGCTGCCCATTCGAAACGCGCGCGGATTGAGCGAGCACGGCGAGTCGAGCGTATTAGCGAGGTAAGCCGTGAGATTGGAGAGGCGGCGGTAGGAATCCTCGGTTAGCGGGGTGAGCAGGGCGAGGGTGCCGGATTGTGTTGTGTGCAGGATTTGGTGGAGGGGTTGTATAGTGGATGGTGGGGAGGGGGTTGTGGTGTCCATGTCGTCTTCGTCGGTGGCGGGGTTGGCGTTGGATGTGAAGGCGTCGGTTGTGGAAGGGAGGGATAGGTGGGATTGGACGAGGTGGAGGGAGGTGGGGAAGTGGCCGGTGTGGAAGGTGGATTTGTGGAGGAGGCGGGAGCCGGCTTCGGATTTGGGGTCTGTGAGGTTGATGTGTTAGTTGACTGTTTGGGTGTGTAGGTCTAGAGGTGAGGATGGGAGACGTACTATCTGGATCGAATTGCAGGACTTGCAGGTTCATGTCCGCATCTGCGACGATGAGGTGAAGTTGTTGGTCAAAGGGCAGGAAGTCGACCGCGATGGTTTCTAGATTATGCTTTGAGCGGGAGAAGAGAGACATCTTGTAAGGTTCTTCCTGCTGTGGTATTAGCATTGCATCCGATACGGCTTTGTTACTGTAATCGCAGGAAGACTTACTGTGTATCCCGTGAACCAGACACCCCGGTACGCATCAGCCATGGCCAGCATACCTGTCCCGGGCAAGTTTTTCAAGTCGCTGACGTAGCATTGCATGTCCATGAACGCGACTGGCAGCAAGGTGCCGTCTTCCTTGAGACCTCGGACCATGCACTTCTGTCCCTGGGCCATGATCATGAAACCTTGGGTACCCAGTCCAGAGATGGCGGAGACCGCGCCCTTGACCTCATCCTTGACGATGAGCTTGAGGCGCTTGTTGGTCTCCGGACGATCTGGCTCCGGTACTACGGTGATGACTTCGAAGATACGGATGCAACCCTTAGTTGCGAGATCTTCGCCGTGGACGATCGAGGTGCCGACTGCGATGAGGTCTTTGCGCTGGTGTGTTACTTCGCTGACTTCGAGGTTGAGTGTTTCAATGCAGAGAATAACTTCCTGGGGATCCAGAATATGTGTGTCGATGATGGTCCAGGACTTCTCGTCTAGTAGTTTGAGAACGCCACGCTCAATCTTGGGCTTGAAGCTCATGTCCTCCTTGGGCAGTTCGTAGTGATATGTCTCGCTGGGGTCCAGTTGGTACTCTTCGAACTGGCCCGTTCCAACAACGTATAACCCTGCCGGGTGGTAGGCAAGGGAGTGCACCTCCGCATCCATTGGCATGCGTCGTGTTGCCCATCCGAGGTGACCGTAGTGTGTTTGAGGCGGAAGTTGGGAGATGCGCAATGTGTCGGTAGAATCGAGGTATGCGAACCCGCGCTGGCAGTTCGATGTGTGGAATGATGTGAGACCCTTGACGGGCTTTCCGCTAAGCCCAATGACGCGTGGTGCGCTTGATGATTCCTTGAAGATGAACGCCGGAGTTGTGCCTCGTTGAAAGACAGTGCTGTAGCCGCAGATATCACCGACCGCTAAGAGTGTACTTTCGAACCCTTGGTCTTCGGAACCTGCATCCTCGATATATCTTGGTATGTGTTGTTGCGACAGCTTGACCCATCGCAGGTTTTGGGTCCAGAGTTCCGAAGTAGATCGTGATGGAGAATGGAAGGCCTTGTAGATGACGAGATTATCGCTGGAAGTGCGGATCTGAATATCGTTAGTCGCTAGAGTAACATGATTCTGATATAGTATCTTACGATCAAATGAGGAGACTTTGTAGTCGCGTCGCCCAAATCAGCCGCCAGAATCTCAGTGATGGTAGCTTTGATCGCACTCCGCTTAGGAACATAATCCATCGCTAGTACTGGCGGCAAGAAGCTCAACGCCTCAGCAACGTAACACGGCTTTTCCATGTCAGACATGGCAAACACGCGAAGACCACCTTCTGGTGTCAGGAGAAAGGCGAAGACTTCCGTGAAGCTGGACGACTTGAACAGACTGGCCGAGAGCCATGTTGTCCCCGTCAGCCCAGTCGCTTCAACATCTTCAAGCTCTCCATCACCGGTAGCCTTGAAGATCTTGACACTGGAGTCCTCGCGCAGGATGAGTAGGTATGGGTCTGCGAAACTGGCGTTGATGACGTTGATCTCGTTTCCGCCCTCTTCGTCTTCCATAGGTAGGATTTGGTCCATATTAAGTTCTATCGAACGATGTTAGTCTGAGAAGGCGGATAATGTAGACGATGTGGCTTACCCGAATCGTACGTCCTGACCTCTGTCCGCATGACCTGGACAACCTTTGTGCCAGCGGCCAACACACCCACAAAGAGAGTTGAGCCTTCTTCACGCTCAAAATCGCCCTTGTCGGTTTCAGTCAGCTCGTTGCCGTTGACCTCGTATACCACAGTAGTCTCAGTGCCGTCATCAATGGTTTTGGAGACAACCAGGTACTGGTCATAGTCAACATCAGTAGCCATGTTGGCTTCAGTGTCTTCGCCAAACGCAGCAGTCACATCTCCCGGGGCTTGCTTTCGAGCATGTACAGCCCAGACGCCATGGGCCGAAGGAAGCTCCTTGGTCGCGATACTGACAGGGTGAAGTTCGCGGTCAAGAGCGGTGATGGCTCCAGCCGACCCTCTACCTGTGGATAGCATGATCTCGCCCTTGTTCAAGGAGTCGGTGACCTTGCCAGGATGGAGGACGGCAGTCTTGATCGGCGCTATACTCGGCAAGACGTCGTGTATCCTGAAGGTGTAGGTGCCGGGCGCAGTGGGCTGGGATACAGCTGCGGTGGTCTTTTGAACCGCCGGAGCTGTATCGTTGTAGAGATCGTCTTCCATATCATCCATATCCTCCTCGTCAGACATGTCCTCGTCGCCATCCGAATCAGCATTCGTCTGCTTGCGTCGCAGTTGAGTGGATGAGCCAGTCCAGCCTAGCATTACTGACTCGCCGTCCTCGCTTCCAACGAACAGTCGCCCTCTGCCGAGATTGCTTGTACATGAAGCGGCAGCTTTGAGGATTTGACCTCCATGGTCTTGGGAGACAGTCTGAATAGTCATTCCAGACACAGTACGGCCGTCGAGAGTGAATGTCAGGATAAGGATGCGCCCGCTGTTGAGCACGATTATCACATCACCCGTGTCCTGCGATAACAGCTCGACTTGGCATCCTTCCAATTGGAGGGCCAGATCTGACTGGTCGCTGAGCGGGAACGATGTACAAGCCTTGGCAAACTCGTTGACAGCCACGCCGTTCGTCTTTCCTCCCTGGTCGACGTGTATGATCTCGTTTCCTCCTACCAACAGAGCACCGCCAATGGGAGAGGGTAGCGGTACAACTCTCGTAATGTCGTAGGGCAGTCCGGTGACTGAGAGGAGCGTAGTGGAGGCCTTTTGTTCGAGATCGAGGGTGAAGACGGAGTAGGTGAGGATGTCTTTGCGGTGGGCGAGTAATGACGGGGCGGTGGCTCGCGAGGCAGCGACTATGCCAAAGGTGGGTTCGCGGTACTCGTGCAGGAAGGCGAGGTGGACGGGGTGTGTAAGGGTAGGGTCGAGGTTGGTGAGTGGGAGGACGAAGGAGGAGGAATACGGCGTCTTGTGCTCGCCATCCGCTTGCTCAGCCTTGGTCTCCTTGGGAGCCTCAGCATCGGAATCATAGTCATCTTCGACGAGATCACGCTGGCGAAAGGGCAGAATGGCGAGGTTGTGGGTGCCGAACTTGAGGGCGGCGCATCTGCTGCTGGGGTCTGCCGTCAAGAAGTTGTACGTGTCTTTGAGATCAGCGGACCAAGGAGCAATGCCGGGCAAGTCTGGGTTCTCATAGTAGTGTATTGATATTGTATGGAGGTTGTACGTCTCCGGGTCCCACTCCACCAAACTGAGCTTCGCATCCCGAAACGCCACCAGCAGCGCCTCGCCCTTTGACTTTGTGTTGAGCGCTTTCACGCGCGCCAGCGATATGACGGTGCCGGCGAGGGGGAACTCGCCCACCAGCACCAGCTTGGCCGTGCTCTCGGTGCGCTGCAACGGCACGTCGGCCGCCTCTGTGTCGAGGTTGGCCGCGGCATTCTCCGACTCGTTTCCTCCGCCCGGGGTGACTTCGGTCGTGGTCGCCTTGAGCTCGAAGATCTGGAGCAGCGAGTTCTTTGCGACGACTAGGTTGTTTGACCTAGAGTGCACGAAGGGCAGGCTGATGGCATGGCTGACGGCGGTGGGCGGGGCTATCTCAGTGTAGCACTGCATGGTGGTGGTCCAAGGTCGCTGCCACACTTCTCATGGCAGTCGTGCGTGGGTGGGGCGGGATAGCTCAGCGCGAATTCAATGTTCGTGGTGTTGACCGAGGTCGCGTCAAAGAGCTCATGCGCGATTCTGTCTAGCGTGTTGTGTTGGAGCTCCAGCCCGGGAAGGTGCGACCCACGCTAGCTGTTCTGGGCAGGATCGAAGCAGGGTTCTGGCCGCTAGACGTCATTCCAAACATCGGCGGCTTCTACCTGGAATCCCCTCTTCTCTCCCCCAGCGATAGCAACTGCTGTCCACGGGTATCAACATGGCGCTGATACAGACCTCTCTCATCTGGGTCGCCTACGCCGTCGCCGTGGGAATCCTCTTCCTCATCGCGTCCACATTCGTCTATGTCTACCAGAAGCCGCGCGATCGCGCTGCCGCCGTTACCATTGTCTGCATCTTCACCACTCTTGCGCTGCTCGCAACCGTCCTCCTCATTCCCGTCGACGTCGCTCTCGTCTCGTCTACCTCGCGATCCAGTCTAGGCCGCAAGAAGGATTGGGCAACCCCGGAGAAGGTCGATAGCATTGTCTACACTCTGCGCATCGTCTACTACACGCTCTACTCGCTCGATGCGCTTCTCTGTCTTCTCGTCATTCCCTTTACCTACTTCTGGTACGAGGAATACGATGAGGATGCGGCCGAGCATGGCGAGCAGACCGCTGGCCAGCGCATTTGGGGTGCTCTCAAGTGGACTCTCGGCTTCCTCATCTTTGTAGTCGCAATCTTCCTTGTCGGTTTCTTCGTGCCCTTTGCGAAGCAGGCCAAGGATGACAAGCGTCTGGACCTCGACTACTTCAAGCATCTTCTCTCGGAGAACCGTAAGCAGCGACTTCTATTGTTTGTTGACATTGGCTAACTCCATTAGATGGCGAACGCGCTCTATCCTTTGGCCTCGGCTTCCTCATCACCGTCGGAACCGTCCTCTTCGTGCTCTACACCGGCGCTGGTATGGCCCTCCTCCCCGTCGCCATGATCAAGTCCGCGCCGTCCGTTTCAGCCCCCACGCTCGCCGCGAACACCGCGTCTCAACTCGAGAACAATCGTGAGCGCCAGAGGCAGCTTGAAGGACGCAACGAAGGCAGCGAAGGCGGACTGGACAGCAGGGACAGACGCGAATTGGAAGCGCTTGTCCGCGAAGAACGCACCCTCATCCGTCGCGAGCGCCTCGCTGCCGAGTCCAGCGGCGAGGACCGCCATTGGATCGTCAAAGCCTGGATCAAGACCGAAGCCTTCTTCCGCCCGCTCAAGCTCATCGGCGGCCTCATCCTGATGGTCTTCGCCCTCGTCATCTTCGCCAGCATGCTCATCACCGGCATCGACAAGGCCAAGAACTCCATCTGCGGCGCCCACTGCGGCTACATCCTCGGCCACATCAACATCTTCCAGCCGCTCAACTACATCCTCGTCAAGTCCGCCAAGGTCTTCCCCATCGACTATGTTATGTTCCTTCTCCTTGTCCTCTTCTTCTTCTCCGCCTCCGTTGTCGGTATCGCGACCGCTGGTATCCGCTTCCTGTGGATCACCATCTTCAAGATCCGCAAGGGACATACTTCGCCCCAGGCACTTCTCATGGCTACCGTCCTCCTCACCCTCATCACCCTCGCAATCAACTACTCCGTCGCCATGGTCGTCGCACCCCAATACGCAACCTGGGGCCCACAAACCTACTGCGACATGAAAACCAACAGCCTAGACGAACAGCCCGATTGCACTGAGCACAAGGATCTCATCAAGGCTTGCAGCGAACTCGCCACCAACCCTGCTGCTCAACAAGTTTGCACACCTTCCGTCCTCAGCACCTTCATCAACCGCGTCACCATCAACTTCCCCTTCTTCGGCGTCGTCCTCTTCTGGGCTCAGTTCGCCTTCTTGGGTGTTTACCTCATCGTCTTCTTGACTACGCTGTTCAAGGCGCCTAGTCTGGACCAGGAACAGATTGATCGTGATCTTGAGGAGGAAGAGGAGGAGGGTCTGCTGGCTAGCACGGGACGTAGGTTTGGGGCTGCGTGGAGTGATGTTACTGGAAGGGCTAGGAAGCCTGCGGGCTATGGTGCGACGGATAGGGATGAGAGGATTCAGTAAGTGGTGGTGTGATCATGTCTCAAAAGTGGGTGTAAATTGTATTTCGAGGTATGGAAGGTAATTCGCTATGGGATATGCGTGGGATAGTATGTATGTCTTTTGGTCTCTTTTTGTTTCGGTTCAAGTATTTTGCATTTCTCTAGCTGTCTTGTCTCTTTAGTTCGTACGATACCTCATTTTGGCGTTTAGCAAGTTTGCAAATACACAATGAACCTTCGGCCCAAACTGAATCTCACCGTTCACCGTTCATTTTCATCGCTTGGCGCTCAAGACGCCTCTTCTTACAACCAGCCCGACGGTCTCCTCCACCCTTCTATCTCCCTCCTGCCACTCCTCTACCTCTTGTTCACACATACTTTGTCCTCCCATCAGACCACCAAGCTCAGATCACCATGGCCAAGCGCAAGCGCGCCTTGAAGTCTCCGCCCACCTCCCTACCGGCCAAGGAGGAACGCCCCAAGGACCCGCAGGATCCGACTACCGCTCTACGGAGAGCTCTACCCGATCAAGATCATCCAGCCCAGGAAGTTCGTCAAGATGTTCCTCAAAGTCCATGTCCTCGCGACCTGATGTACGTTATTCATCCTGATGAATGCATACGTGACTAACAGTGTGTTGTAGCAGCATGTCAAACGCCGCAAACTCGCCTTTGCTTCGTCTTCCGGCTGAGATCAGGAACATGATCTTCACCTACGTCTATGCCGACAAGACATATGTGTTTCGAGAAGATCTTGAGGCAAAGGCAACCGGTACTTGTCGTCGTGAGGATGATGAATCGCAATCTGAATTGAAGGGAGAAGCCTGCCTATCGTTTGTCTGTCGTCAACTCAATGCCGAAACGTCTCTACTTCCGTACAAACTTGGGGTGTTTCGGTTCAACGTCGTTGCAAAGAATAGAGGGTATCTTGGGCTATGGATGTTGGAAGATTTCGTAGGAGAAAGGACAGACCAGCAATTCGATGCCATTGCTCAGCTAACAATCGAGCAATGGTCTGACGAGGGCCGTAAAGACTGGGAGCGAACTATGTCTGCTGCAAACTGGCTCGCCACGATGAAGGAAATTGCGGACTGTGCTGATCAGATGAATTCCTGAGGAGTCCGGGATCGCGAGTAGTTTGACGTCTATTATACTGGTCCATCTGGTATCAACGGGCGGGTTTGGCCGTCCTGGGATAACGTTTGGCAGTCTCATTGCAATTGTCAGCTCGGTACGGCTTTCGTATTCCAGGTAATCCGGCACTATTCCTGAAATATTGCGCAGGTCAGCCGTTGTAGCAGTGGTGTCTTTGTATCTAGTGACGTCACCTGTTTACATGTGACTTTCTGATATGGAAGCTGCGGCTCTTATGACGGCCGGCTCAGATTAGAAGTCACTCTCATTTTGATTGGTCGGCTCAGCTTGGCTGATCTTCTCGACCCTTGCTTCTGTTGTACCCTTCACTTTTACCCCGTTCCCATCAAAATTCCAAGCTGAAGTCAACATGGCCAAGCGAAAGCGCCCACCGACCCCTCCCGCTACCACGCAGTCTGCGAAAGCAGCGCGAGACGACAGGGCATCGCGTCGCGCAGCTGCTCAAGACATTCGCGACCAAGCTCGTCGGGCTCAGATGTAAGATGCAGCACTCGTTTTAGCAACGTAGCTAACAGAATTTAGCACCACGCTCAATGCTGTCAACTCGCCTCTGCTTCGACTCCCGGCTGAGATTAGGAACATGATCTTCGCCCACGTCTATACAGGCATATTCTACTTCTTTGACGAAGGTCCTACGACGAAGCCCTCCGATGAATATTGCTTTATGGCCGTCGATCGGTGGCTTGAGCAGCGGCCACAGGACAAAATACATCTCACCTGTCGGCAGATGCATGCTGAAACCGCTCTATTACCCTATTCGCTTGGTAGCTTCCGATTTGAGGGCGAAACGTCGGCATTCCGAGGGCTGTGGGTTTTGAAAAGGTTTCTGGGAAGGCGAACGAGTGAGCAGATCGATGCGATGGCTAACGTCAAGCTCACTGAGTGGTCAGAAGCGTTGGGTTGCTATTGGTACCAACAAAACACTGCTGCATACTGGGTCGCCAAGTTGGAAGTTTTCTCAGCCTCTTACGCCAAGATGACCCCAATGGAACGCTACAGGTTCGATGTCTCTTCTTTCGGACCATCTGGTGGTCGTGTGACGCTTCCATAGACCAGATAGTTCCTTTCTTCATAAGCGTTCCTGTATCTATTCGCTGAGACGACTGTACCCTCTCCGGTCACTGCAACAAGTCAAATTCCATCATCTTGTTCAGGTCATGAGTGCACATCGCCTATCCACAGCCGGCTGTCGGATCTCGAAGGTGAGATGACCGCGTATTTGAAACGGCCAACATATATCGAAATCTGCCTTTACCTTGAGTATCCAGCATGCGTCGCTCCTTCGCTACTGTATAAGTAGCGGTAGCTCTCCCTCTTCTCTTCTCTTCTTTCTTTGCCTTTTCCCATCACCTTTCTACTTCCCTTCTTCCGATTCCACAAGCGCACGCCATGGACCGCGGCAAAAAGCGCGCTCTGTCCCCTTCGGCCGTCGCCTTGGCTAAGAAGCAGAAGCTCGACGGGGATTCCAATGACAACCGTATAATTCAAGAGGCTATGGCTCGGATCCGTGCTCGGCATCGTTCTGAGACTGAGCGCGACGAGATGTAAGTACCATATTCCCCGATTGATGGATCTTCAGCTAAAGATATTGTATAGCCACAAGTCTAACGCCATCAACTCTCCTCTACTCCGCCTTCCAGCCGAGTTAAGAAACATGATCTTTGGTTGGGTCTACTACGATGTCCTTTACATTCTTTCCGAATACTATCGGTCATATGAAAACGTTGTCTATATGCACGTCGATGACTGTCCCGGATCCTACACACCTCACGATCTCGGCCTTCTTCTTGTATGTCGCCAGATCTACGCTGAGACAGCTTTGCTGCCATACAGCCTTGGATCATTTTATGTCTGGGCCGAATTTCTAGACATCGACGAACAGGTGTACGCTCTTGACAGGTTTCTGAAGGCGAGGACACAGGAGCAGATTGGCGCCATCTTATCCTTGAAGTTCGACGAATTCCACAAAGTAAGTCTTGGAATCAAGCCTTTGGAGGAGACTGGTGCATTCTGGGTGGCGAAACTGGCGGAAGAGTCGTACCAGGACATGATTTCGTCGCTCATTATTGTTTATCCGACGGTCTGGACACTTGATCGTGAGATGGCACGATAGACATTCGCAATGGTCGCAGTATAGTCCCTTTTGGAAAGGTCCTCTTGTATCTTTTTCGATCACCAGCTTCGCTGCAGATGCAGTGGCTCAAATAATATCAAGCTCGTGAATCTTCTTACTTCGCATAAGTCCATCAATCGTACTGAAAGTGAGTGAACGATGAGCATGCTACCTGTGCCACTTTGCGCACTCATACAGCGGTAAGAACTAGACAGCCGTATGACGGCACAATTTGCAAGCTGCCCCGGTGTTCCAATTTGAAGTTCGCACTCACCTCACATGGTAACCCAGCAACGGGTCAACGACAATAGCGCGCCTGCCTCTTTCTAGCCTTGGCAAAGGCTCTTACCCTCTCACTCCCGCACTGCTCTCGCACTCTCGTTCCACCGCCACACTCCTCGACTCCTTCGACTGCACTCTCTCGACGCTACCGCCCAAGTTCGTCATCAATGTCGTCAGCATCTATGGGGAAGGAAATGGCGACCGCTCAAGAGCAAGCTCAGCGCGAGCGCGACCGGCTCGACAAGATGTGAGTCTCTCGATCGCTCAGTGCCAGTGCCATGGCTGACAATGTATTAGCACCGAGATCAACGCTATTCAGTCTCCGCTTCTTCGTCTACCCGCCGAGATTCGTAACCAGATCTACACCTATATCTTCAACGACATCCGCTTTACCCTAAAGGTTAGCAAGTGGCAAGTCGACAAAATCATCAACTTCTGGACCTATCGTCCCCCTCCATTCTATGATTATGTGGATCGTGTGGTACTACCTTTCGCTTGCCGCCAGCTTCACCACGAAACCTCCTTGCTTCCATACCAGCTCGCGACATTCGACTTCGGCGAAGCGCACGTCCACCATAGGACTACCATTCCTGAGAATCGGGCGATGAAGGCTTTTCTAAAGGCAAGAACCAAGGCGCAGCTTGAGAATCTCGGTCATATGCAGGTTTATGTACATGTAAATTGGCATCAAGGTTTCGGGACTGAATCGTGGATAATGACCAGAGACGGTGCCTATTGGGCTGCAAAGCTGGGTTGCTAGAAGATCGTCCTCTAGCTGTTCTAGAACTACCTTTTCAGGCTTTCTAAATCGTAGTTCGCCATCGTAGCGATGATTCAGCGCTTTCAAGTGGTTATGCGGTCTCACTGCAAGAAACCACGTAGTGAGAAAGACCTCAGCAATACATACTTCCCTCTATACATCTTCTTTCGGCGCATCACGATATCATTTTCTGTAGCACTGACTTCTCATGGCGGATGCATATCATGCGACGAGAGCTTGCTTGTGCGTCAAATCAATCGTTTGCAATGACCTATTCTTAGAACGGCAGCTGTATATGATTTTCGCACTTAACTTTGGTCACCCAGCTACCACAACAACAACGCGACTCCCTCCTCACACCCCCGCACTCCTCCCACACGCTCTACCACTACCACTACTCCCAATCTCGTCTGTCTTTCGCTCAGAGCGCTATCCCGCCACCAGCGTGTTCAGTCCTCTAAGGCAACGCGATGGCCGACGGGAGTTCCCACAAAGCCGTAGCGGAGGGGCACCTTCTACAAGATGCTGCTCGCCGCGACGAGATGTAAGACTACCCTTAATTCCGCCGAGCGGCTCTCCAACTCACCATATACACTAGAACAAAGCTCAACGCTACCCAGTCGCCGCTTCTTCGCCTCCCCGCTGAGATCCGGAACGCGATCTACACCTTTGTGTTCAGTGATCAGGTCTATAAATATGATGGATCGGACAAG